GGACCTTCTCAACCCTGCAGTTCCAGAATCTGGATATTTTTAAACGATACTGTGTTGGAGCGAGGAATGTGATTGTTTTTCTTTTAGCAATGCCGCCCTCTTGTGGCCTCAATGATCAGAGCACATAGAATATCCTTGACTTGAGCCATAGCAAAATAACGCCGGGAAATTTGCTGTGAAATGTTCAAAGAAGAAGCCGTTCCCGGGGTCATGGGATTGAAAGGGACTCCAGCAGTCTTCTAGTTCAACCCATAGCAGAAAAGGAATCCCCACTGCGATAACAGTCAGTGTTATTATAGCCCTTAAAAGGTTTATAAAGCACTTGACTTATCTCATTTGACCCTCACAACTTTGTGAGGCAGGCATTGTCATTATTCCCATTTTACAGATAAGGAAGCAGAGGTTTAGAGAGAAAAGTCATATAATTTGCCCAGAGTCACACAATTAGGCGGTGCCCGAGGCAGGATCTGAACTCAGGACTTCCCAAGTCCAGTACCCTCCGCCCCCTAGCTACCACATATTCCACATGTAGCTTCTACTTGAAGGTCTCCAGTGAAATACCTCCCAAGGCAGCCCATTCCCCATTGGATAAATAGTCACTCAATTCTCACTGATGGGAATCTCACACTTCTAAAAGGCAGCCTTTCTGTTCTCAGCGATGCATAGCGTTAGGAGTACACAGGGCTAGACTTGGGGCAGGAAGTTGGGTTTGGAAAAGGAAGCCTGGCTCAGCCACTTACCAGGTGACCTTGAGCAAGTCACCTCTCCAAGGCTGACCTCTAACATTCCTGCCCAACCCGCCATGTTCCTGGCCCCAGTTTTAGAGAAGAAAAAAAAAATGGTGTGATCTCTCAGACTGAGAGATGGCACCCAGGTAATAGGGAACCAAGCGGTCTGAGTAGATGGGCTTGGGCCTTGGGAGAGCATATGTCTCCCAAGACAGCTGGGGGGCACAGTGCCTAAGGAGCTGACTCTAGAGTCAAGAAAACCTGAGTTCAAATCTGGCCTCAGACACTTCCTAGCTGTGTGACCTTGGGCAAGTTACTGAATCTCTCTCAGCCTCAGTTTCCTCATCTCTAAAACGGGGATTATAATAGTATTCACTTCCCAGGGTTGTTGTGAGGATAAAACAAATTATTTGTAAGGTGCTTTGCAAACTTTAAATCCCCACATAAAAGTCAGCTGTGATTATGATGATCATAGCAGGGAGGCCCAGAGAGGGGAGATGACTCGTCCAACGTCACACAGCTAATTAATGACAGACCATGAATGAGAACCATAGATCTAAAGCTAAAGGGTCCTCAAAGGCCCCCTAGTCTACCTCACTCACTTTACAAATGAGGAAACTGAGGCTCAGGATGTGTTTAAGTGTCTTGCCTGAGCTAAGCCTCAGAGGAGAGATTCAGACCCAAGCCATCTGACTCCAGACCCCCACGTTCTTTCCACTGCACCACGCTTTTGACCTGCTGCCCCACCACCCAGCATTCACCTCCTGTATTTCACTCCTGTTATAAAAAGCCTTGTTCTACCAGAACTCATCCCCAATGATATGTGCACAGTCAGCAGGAATAGAGACTTTTAAATATGAGACTTACACTGCTGTGCAGCATCTCTGTAACACATCTTTAGAAAGAAAAGATGACACGGTGTGGAGCGGAGTGTCAAGACCTTGACGTCGGGAGGCATGAGTTCAAATCCCGGCTCTGACTAGGAGCTGGGTGTTTGCGGACAACACCTCAACACGCCTCAGTTTCTTTTCTGTACAAGGAGATTCAAATACTGCCTCTGACACTCACAATCTATGGAACCTTGGACAATTGGCTGAACTTTCTCTGGGCTCAGTTTCTTCATCTATAGTATGGGCCTCTGAAGTACCTCCTAGCCCCAGACCTAAGATCCTATGAACTTGCCCATGGCCACACAGCCAGAGGCAGGATTTGAATTCAGGTCTTCCTGACTCCAAGACTGGTCTTCTATCTATCATGCTAAACTACTTCTTGCTGTGTATCTAGTAGGTATGTAACAAATTAAATTTACTTCAGTAACCATCTATTTGAAACCTCCGTGTTTGTGGATTAATTGAATTTCCAACCCTTGACAGTTCCCAAGTAGCCTGACATCATGGGAGCGTGCCTTGTTTGACCTACTTGGAGAAAGAATTCCAACCCAGTTTGCGACTTGTGGCCAAATTAACAGTGAGACTCCCCAAGGCCTCCAGTCCTGCAGGAGCCTACCCCACGTAGCTGGTTGTCTTGTGCTTAGCTCAGCTAAAGAATTTCAGGAAACAAGCTCATTTTCCTACTCAGGGAGCACGGAATCAGCAGGCCCTGGCAAACCTAAACCATGTCCATCATACAATTCCCAGTGAAATCAATTACTAGGAAGTTTTAGAGGAAAGTTTGATTCAGAGAGAACCAGAGTGGCACCTGACATCCCATGCAGAGCAGGATGGAAAGGTGAACACCCAGCATAGTGGTTTATTCCACACCAATGTGTATCATTGAGAAAAACATCATCACATCAGTCACTGACTGGTTAGTACGTTGGATAGCCACAGTATGGCTAAGCCGATGGACCAAAGAGGTGCTTTCTACCATCGATGATTTTACACTTTGAAGAATAAAGATGTAACAGATAAGGGCCTTAGTTTCCTCATCTGTAAAGGGAGGGAATTGGTCTAGGATGACTTCTGAGTTTCCAGTTCTAAATATTGATCCTAGATTCCTTCCTCTCTAGAAGGTCTGTTACTAATTTTATGTCCTACTGTTTAATGGTATATCCAGGGAAGGTTCATGCCTAAACTATGAACACGTGTATTGAGTAACCTTCATTTAACTTGCATGTGGACAAGCACTGTCATGGAGGAGGAGATTAAAAGAGAATTTTAAATTCTCACTCAGGAAGGTTCTCAGGATTTAGGGCTAAAAGAAAGTTCGTCTCATCCAACTCTCTCATCATATCCTGGGCTTCTAAAACTTTTACATTCAAGCATTTCTTCATTCCCTCAGCATTTCTTAAACTGTGGGTCGTGACCCCATGGGGTCACGACCCACAGTTTAAGAAGTGCTGGCTAGATGAGGAACCCAAGGTCTAGAGGGAAAATGTAACTTGCCCATGGGTGCTTAGTGGAAGAGGCAGAATTGGGAGCCAGGTCCTTTGACCACAATGCTGGCTTCATGTCCATACATGAAGCTTCTTCTTAGACTGTGTCTTCATCATCCAACATGTCACCAATAGAATGAGTTTGTTTGGCGTGTATGGGTTCATAGAATCATGGGATTTTGGAGCTGGAAGGACCTCGGAGAACAAAGATAGAGCACTCTGGACCTGGAGTCAGAAGACCCAGTTTTGAGTCTTGACTCTGCTACATAGAGCTGAAAGAGTTTGACCAAGTTGCTCTATGCCCCAGCTGTGGGTATGAGTCCCTGCTCTCTCCTTTACACTAGTATGTGACTATGGGAAAGTGAAATGATCTCTCTGGAGTTCAGTTTTCACATATGTGAAAATAGGAATAATAATATGCGCACTACCTATCTCATGGGGTCGTTGCAAGGGGGAAAGTACACCATAACTCTAAAAAGCCATGTATTCAATTCAATTCATTTCAATCACCATTTCTTTGGCTAATACTATACCTGCTGGGCCTATTGCTAAGAGTTGGGGATACAAAAGAGCAAAATGAAACTATTCTCATCCTTAAGAAACTTAAGTCCAACTGTGGAGAAATAACATATACATGGGTAAGTACATACAGGATAAATACAAGAAATTTTAGATTGGACCAACAGGAGGGGCCCTTGGGAGGTCCAGAACAGGTCTCCTGCTGGAGGTGCTACCTAAGCTATGTTTTGAAAGTTACGCATGGTTCATCGATATATAAGTGGGATGTACTGTTACATCATCATCTAGTCTTGACAAATGTGGGCCTCAGTTTCTCCATCAAGGTCCCTTCTTGTGAGGGACTGTCTGATGTTGGCTACTGCCAAGTGGGGGTTGTGGCAAGATGGGGTAAGAACAAGATATTAGGAAGTAACCGGAGCTCACGCTCCCGAGGCAGGGGCTGCGCTAGGCGGAGTTGTGGTGAACTGGGATGGGGGCTGGATACGGAGAAGTAACCGGAGCTCGCGCTCCTGAGGCAGTGGGCAGTGCTATGTGGAGCTGTGATAAGCTGGGGAAGGAACAGAATACAAGGAAGTAGACGGAGCACGTGCTCCTGAGGCAGGGGGCGGTGCCACGTGGGAGTGGGACGGCAGAGGACGAGTTCCTTTGTCTAGCCCCCTCCCTAGGTACAACGCTAACCCCAGATGCCTCCTTCCTGTGTCCTTCCTGACTTCCTGGGTCACGTACTTTCCCTTTGTCTATGCACTAATCCCAGACGCCTCCTTCCTGTATCCGGTCCTAGCCTCCTGCGTCACTTCCTCTTCCTTGGTGTGCTAAACTCAGACATCCCCTTCCGGTATCTGACCCTACAATCAATGACTAGTAGGTGGGCTGAGGAGGTGGGGCTAAGTAGGTACTTAAGGAACGGGTCCGTGGTCGGAGCTCGCTCTCTCTTTGCTCCTGCTCTCTTGCTATGGCCTTCCTGCTTGGCCTTGCTGTGATGGCCTCTGAATAAAGTTCCAGTGTTGGCGCCTCCTGATGGGCTCGTCTCTGTGTGTTTATCTGGGTAGGCTCCAAAGACTGGTAAGTAGTATGACTCTGGCAGCCTGCTCCTTATAGGAGGAGAGTGCACGGCGTGGCCGGCACACCTTCTATCACTAAATATTTTGCTCCTGTGCGCCTCCAAATGATTGTTTTACATTAAATTGCCTTCAAGCCATCAAACAATGTTATTCCATTACACTTTTATGATTATAGGATATCTAATTTAGAGTAGGAAGGGACCTCAGAGGCTACAGTTTTATAACTTTAGTGGAGGTGAAAGAAAAAGAAGCTTGGGTAACTTTGACTCTTTGCTAAGAACAAAATCTCATGGTGTGCATTTGTTTGATCTTCCGTAGAAATTGTCCGAGCGATGACCCATGTGATAAACCAGGGGATGGCCATGTACTGGGGCACATCGAGATGGAGTGCTATGGAGATTATGGTAATTTGACTTCTTCTCTGAAGGAGCCATTAAGGTTTTTTTTTTTCAAACATCTGTTATCCTATGCAAATCCTCTACTGAAATCTGAATGTGAATTTGGAAATGATTTGTGTCTTCTATCTATGTGAGTACCTTCCCAGTATGGGAATTCCCTCTGCCACTGCAGGAGGCTCCATTCCATCTAAGACATGGTAAGTGGATGGGTCCTTGCCTGAAACATGTAGAGGTTCAATGACTAGTTCAAGATTAGCCACTAAGTGTCAAAGGATCTGGGTCTTTATGATACCAAGACTAGCACTCTATCCATTACAATACAGTATGATCAAAATCAACTTTAACAGCTGAAAACGACAATATCTCAAGCAGCTAATTCCAACATGACTGAGCATCAGGGAAAGCTTCTTTTCTTAAAGCTCACCTTATTACAGAGGACATAATATAAAAGGAAGGTCCTAACACAAAGGAGGCCCAGTCAGTCTGTTGTGGCTAAATGGTAGTAACAAGAACCGTGCACAAGGATCGCTGATCCTTGTTAGCAAAAGGCTAAAGGGAATATCAGGTTCACAGGGCTTAGGGGTGCGGTGTTATGAGTTTTTTAAAAATAAACATAAATGGTATTAACAACAACTATGTTGCTCAAGAATATGTGATAAGCACAGGAAAGAAAAAAAATGGTATAGTCCCTTCTAGACAGTGATGTCTTTGTTATCCCTGAAAGAAAGAACTGTATCTTACAAGTTTTAGGGAAAGTCATAAGTGCTGTTTGGCTGGTCTTGAATAAATTAATTTTTAGACTTCAAACTATGACAACCTGTCGAGGCTCTTTGCTCAGTCAAATAGGGGAGATATACCTAACAAGAGACCCGCCCCGTCCATGCTGTGGAGAATGGGAGTGGCTGTTCTGTTCATATCTGAAAAAGATCTCTGGCCCTAAGTATAGGATATGCAGTGCTACTAATGGAGCCTTGCTGCTACAGCATTTCTGTTTTCAAAGATTTGTTCATCCAGAAGCTCCATCAACCCTAGCTCTCTCTCTCCCACCCTCCCTCCCTCCCTCCCTCTCTCTCTCACTCTCTCTCTCTCCCTCCCTCCTCCCTCTCTCCCCACCCTCTTCCATTTGTCTGTCTCTCTCTGTCTTTGTATCTCTGTCTCTCTCTCTCACACACACACACACATGGACTCAACTCCATGTACAATGTGCTTATTCACACATACATACTGTGATTTCCACAGTGTGGGAAACCCCACATGTAGACACTCCCTCCATCGACAATAATCCTTCTCATCTGCAGCTTACAGTCCTAGAGAGTTTCCTGGTGAATCAGAGGCTCAGTGACTGTCCCAGGGTCACACAACACAGACATGTCAGAGGTAGGGCTAGCACAAGTCTGCTTGACTGCAAGGTAGCCCCTCTGAACTTGTCACCATTCATACACGGTTTATAATCAGTGCAAGTTGATGAGCACAGTCAAGGAGTAGTCTGGCTGTGGCGACCAAAGGAGGAGTTCAGTTGAATGCTTCACAGACTCCATTATAATGTTGGTGACTTCCTGGAGAGTCTCATTTTCCTGAGTTCTTTTATACAAGATCCCCAAAAGACATGTACAAAGTTTGCTTTCTGAGAGGACCATCTGGTCTCGCCTTGCCTATGGCCTAGCGTGCCTGGCTCAGTTAATATGTGCTTTATAAGCCGGAAAGAACACTGGAACTAAAGTCAAAGGGTCTGAGTTCAGATCCTACTTCTGCTATTTATGATATCTGTGGTTGACAAAGGTCAAGTTTTTCCGCCTCTATAAGCCTCAGTTACTAATCTGTAAAATGAGGACTTTGGCCTAGACGGTCTTTAAGGTCCAACTCTACACTATGATCCTTTCCCCTCTGTGTGATGTCTTCTTCTGGCCGGATGTATAGCTGTAAAGACTTCTCACCTGGGCAAACGGCCTCGACGGTTTGGGCCAAGTATTGGTAATTCTACATTTCCGTACAGATTGACAGTGAACAAAATCCCACAAATTCTCAGAAACACACACATAGGCTCAAATTAACATCATTAATATTATCGGCTATTTAATCTATTAACAATCTAACAAACAGCACAAAGATGTATCTAAATATTTCAACAACGTATTTCAGTAAGAAAATTCAAGGCTACAGAGTCAGGTCTAACCATCAGCTGTGACTGCAGGCTGCAGACATGGTCCTACCATTGGGCTCGGTCAGCATGGCGGTCCAAACCTCTTCTCAAGCATTCCCTTTACAATGTTTCACCTCGACTTAAACACGGTTCTCTCAGGAAGTCTCTTCGTTCTCTCTTAAAGACATCATCTACTGAAGTTTCTCAAATAAAGAAGTTCCCTTTCTTAGTCCTTTGTCCCTGCCTTGAAACAATCTCTTTCAGCTGTGAATGTAAAATCTCCAGATGAGAGTTAAGATGACCCTCTCCAAAGATCCTATTCCCTCTTCAAAATACACCAACAATCCGTGGTCTCTGTGGGAAGGAATGCTGGAGCTGGGATCACACTCTCATCCGGTAATCATAGCTATTGCTAGATCAAGTATCAGCACATGGTATCTACACAAGGTTGGACTCAATGATGGCTGAAAGGTCAAACAACTGAGCCACGGTCTTGCTTATTGGGACAAGATCATGGCTGAAGATGAGGTTCCGTCTTCTTCCAATAACATCCATTAATTTTTTAAACAATTTTGTTGGACTTCCTTTTTATTCTGGATTATGAGAGCCCCCCTTGACTCTCTTCACCCACGTGCTGCTACGTTTGTCAAGGAGAGCCCTTCTTTGGATTTTCCTAAGCTGAACTTTAGACTTTCAAATAGGTGGTACAGCAAGCACAGGACTACCAGTCTGGAGGCAAAGGATTTGGTTTCAAATCCTGCCTCTGATTCTTGCTCCCTGCGTGACACTGGGCAAGTCACTTGAAATGTCTTTCCCTCCCCTATCCCAGACCTCAGTTTGTTAAAACATGAAATGAGAGAGTTGGACGATATGACTGCTGGTGTCCCTTCCGGTTCTAGGTGAATAATCCTATGACCCTCAGACTCTTAGAAATTTATATTTGAAAAACACCTATCAGAAAATACTTTTATAGAGAATTGTAGTTTACTTAAGGAAGACTTGTATATGAGGGTCACAGGCAAAAGCTCCACTTCAATGGCTGCAAGCAGAAAGCCTGAGCCAAATCAGCTAATGTGAAGGAGGTGGTTCCATCTAAATTTACACGTGGGAATCACTAGAAATGTGGCACCACTTTTCATTCTTCATCACTGAGAAAGCAAAGGAATCCTTAGGAATTGGACTTTCCATTATGAAGTGGGGGGGGGTGGTTCCTGACACACAGAACGTCGCAAAGTTTGTCCAGTTTACAAGAATTTTGTGCAATAAAAACCTTGGAAGGAGCCTCAGAGATTGTCTAGTTCCTGCCCTTATTTAGAGATAAGGTAACAAAGGGAGTATCAAAGAAGTGGATTTAATTGCTCAAGTTCACACCACTAGTTTGTGGAAGAGAGGGGATTAGAACTCATTTGGACTTAACCCATTAGAAATTAGAACTGAATCTTGACTATGGGGAGTCTTTAGGTGAGCCTCATAGAGAGACTTCATGAGGTAAATAATAATTTCATGGAAAACCAATATTATTTGCTATAAGAGAGGACAAAAGGAACAGTCTCAAAGAAACCTAGGAAGATTTACTTGAACTGATAAAGAGCAAATTGATCAGAACCAGGATAACAATGTAAAGGAAAAAAGCAAAACTTGGAAAGATTTAAGAACGCTGATCAAAGTAATTACCAACCTTGATCCCAGAGGACTGATGAGGAAGGATGTTCTCTACCTACAGACAGAGTGATAATGGGCTCAGGTTATGGAATAAGGCATAGATTTTTTGTATATGACCAATGTACAAATGTGTTTTGCTTTGCTATATATGTTTGTTACAATGGTTTTGTTTTTCTTTCTTTTTTTCCCAGTGTTGGGGGTGTGGGGTAGAAAGGAAGATAAGAGGGAAGGAAGATACCCTGTCCCTCACACCCAAAAGAAAATAGAAGGAAGCCCAGAATCACAGATAAGCAGGATAACTTAGAAAGTTAGATGCTGACTTTATTATATATTTTTAAAGAAAAGCAAGCTGTACAAAGTAAATGAAAATGATCGTTTTATTTAATGTTTTATTTGATGTCAAGGAAATTCAGAATAAAAAAGGGAAAACCAATAATAAACAATTCTGGTTATAATTTCCTTTACTAATTTCTTGTCAAGTGGTTGTTTGAGACTTCTTATTCTGCTTTAAGAAACATGACTTCTTGGAAATTGTGTGCAGATCAAAACATCATAAGGACATTCGGAAAAGATTTCACATAAAACCTCATTAAGTCAGCCTGAACTAATTTAGGATTTCAGGGACTTTGAACAGGAGTTAGGCAATTTTGAACTAAATATGTAAAAGGATTTGCTGAGGAAATCAATAGTATAGAGGATTTCTGAAAGACAGTGTGGCATAATGGGTAGAGAGCTGGCTAGGGAGTCAGAAAGACACATGTTCCAGTCCAGCTTCTGATCCACAGTAGCTGTGTGACTCTGAGGAAGTCACTGAACCTCTCTGTGCCCCAGGCTGTTCTATAAGACTGGAAGCTTGCAGAAGGTGCTTGCTGCAGGACTAAAGGAAGCACCTTATGTGGAGCTTATTTGACCAATGAAATCACAGGCCTGATGAAAGGCAACAAAACCAAGCAGGTTTTCCAGCAGAGACTTGAAGTTAAGAGAATCAGGTGTTTGCAAGTATTGGAAAAAACACCTCTTGATGATCAATGTTAATCCTACTTATGTACCATGATTGTCTATTCATTAACACCTTAACTAAAGCAGGTTCCCTCAAGACCTTTGTTAGTCAACACTTAGATAACCCAATCCCAGTTTCTGTAATGAAACTTGATTTTCTATAAATATCCTATATTCCATAATTTTATTTCACTATTTCTATTTTCCCTCAATGTAAATTTATAAGGTTTTTAACTGTTTGTTTATCTCCGGTGGTTGATAAGGAGAAAGGAGACCATGAATTTGCCCACCATTTGTTAATGTGGAATTTGTGATAGCATCATTGATTTAAACGGGGAAGGGACCTTCAAGAGCATGTAATCCAAGGATTCTTAACCTTTTTGTGCACCATTGACCCCACTGGCAACCTAGTGAAGCCAACGGATCCCCTCCTCAGACTAATGTTTTTAAATGCATAAAATAAAATACTTAGGATTACAAAGAAAACCAACTCTATTAAATACAGGCATCAATATATTTTAAAAACCAGTTCACAGACCTGTGGTTAAAAACCCCTGAATTCAATCTCTTCATTTCACAGATGAAGAAAGTGAGGCTCAGAGGGGTCAAATGACTTGTCCATAATTGTGCAGTCTATCCTGATTATGTATTATGTGTATTATAATGGTTCCATCAGACCTGGCTTCTTCTTCTTCTTCTTTTGTAGGAAGCCTATTCTGTAGCAAGACAGTTCAACATGATTCCACCGGTATGTGAACAAGCTGAGTACCATCTTTTCCAAAGAGAGAAGGTGGAGGTACAATTGCCGGAACTATACCACAAGATAGGTAATGTATAGAATGGAACTCATTCATTCTCTCCCAGCCCAGAGGAGGCTGATGCTGTGGAAGCCACATCCTCTCTGTACATACAAAGTATTACCAAGATGCTTTCATAATTATTCTTCATCGAGAATACAGGTCACAAAATCCACCTGGGCCAAGGAGTTTCACAGAGATAAAATAAGGCACCATCTTGTCTGTGAAGTATATGTGTTGGAAGCAAACCACCCTGTTAGCAAGACTGAACACAATTCCTTGCATGCAGTAGACACTTGAGAGATATTTGCTGAGTGAGTGAGTGAACTTATTCTAAGAGTTATCAGATACAGGCTAAAGTCTGTGCTTATTATAGGTTAGAGCATGATTGGACTCAACATGTCTGGCTTCAAGCTTTTACATGACTTGAAGCTTTTTTCACAGGGCAAAACATACATGGATTTCTTTATTTTTATATCTGAAAAACAGAAAGAAGCCATATTCACAGACATGATCATCAAGAAAAATGGGACCTTACCATTTTCCCCTTAATAATCTCGAGGTTTCTTTCCAATCCTTCAGTTTCTTCAAAACTTATGTTAAAGATCACTTCCTACATGGGCCCTTGTGTGATCCCTCCAGCTTCTAGGAATTTCTTGCACAATTAGCATGGATTTCTTTTGTATTTACTTAAACAGGTACTTGATGTCTCCCTCAATAGAATGTAACCTTCTTAAGAACAGGGATATTCATTTTTGTCTTTGTCTCCCCACTATACAGCAAAGTGTCTGGCACATATCAGTTACTTAGTACATGCTTGATTAATTGATTGAGAGAAAGCTTCATAAATGATCAACTGATTAAAAGATAGACGTTTTCCTAAGCATGAAATCTCCCTCAAAACAATATAAGCTCTTCCAATAGAATATAAACGTGACTTTTATTTTTTATTTGATTTCCCCAGTCCCTAGGACAGTACCTGATACATAGTAGGACTTACTAAATGCTTGTTAATTGATTGAGTGCAATCAATGAAATTTGAAAAATATGACCCTTCACGCATGTGAGAATCATACAGGATTCAAAGAGCTAACAGATTTCAAGTGAACAAATTTCAAGCATTTTATAAACAGTGTAGAAAATCTCTGTAAAGACATCTTGAGGGAGACATCAGATACATGATGAAATCCATGATAATTAGGGGAGGAAGGACTGGAAGCTGGAGGAATTATCAAAGTGTTCATGTCGGAGGTGGTCTTTGACACAAGTGTGGCCATTTTAATGAAAGATACTTGCTCAAGTTAAAGAGATTTGCCATAATGAAAATTAAATAGCATGTTGAGTTCTTGCTTTAAAAAAAAGTTCCATTTAAAAGCCCACACCCTGATTATTTACATAAGCTCCATTTGCATTTATTTTTCCTGTAGGGGTTGGAGCAATGACCTGGTCTCCCCTCGCCTGTGGAATCATCTCAGGGAAATATGGCAATGGTGTGCCTGAAAGCTCCAGAGCATCACTCAAGGTATTTCCTATGATTTCTATGGAGGAAGCTTCTCTTACAATGGCCTGAGGGGAGGAAGAGTCAAAAGGTAGATGACAATGGTTTTGCAGGTAGACATTGACATGCAAGCTTCTGAATCTGCTGGGCACTTTTTTTTTTTTTTTGCTTTTTGGTGAGGCGATCAGGTTAAGTGACTTACCCTTGCCCAGGGTCAACCAGCTAGTAAGTGTTAAGTGTCTGAGGCTGGATTTGAACTCAGGTCCTCCTGACTCCAAGGCCAGACCTCTATGCATTGTGCCACCTAGCTGCCCCTGTGGGGCACTTTCATCATAGGTTCTTTGGAGGCATGGTTAGCTACTGCTTTAAGATCAGAGTTCTTAACATCTTTCAAAACTGTTGTCCTTATGGTGTTGTTGTTATTGTATACATTATTTTCATGGTTCTGCTCACTTCACACTATATCAGTTCACACTACCCAAGGTTCTCTGAAACCTTCTCTTTTGTCATTTCTTATCCATTATATTTATTCACCACCATTTGTTCAGTCATTCCCCAATTGATGGGCATTCCCATTTAGGTTCTAGTTCTTTGCTTTGTTTTGTTTTGATTTTTTCCTTTTCATCTCTTTTTCATGATCAGGAAGTTTATTTTGTTTTCAACTACTCTCTCCCTAATATTAACTTGCCTTTAAGCCCTACCCCCAACCCCACTTGTTTCTCTGTTGAGTCTGATGTATTTCTACATTTGGGAACCGCAGTGACATCTTTTTATACTTGTAGTATGAAAAGTATATAAGTTTTTGTTCGATCTCTGACCCCATTTGGGGTTTTCTTGGCAAAGATACTGGCATGGTTAGCAATTTTCTACTTGACAAAACATTTGTGGCAAAATTATAGAATGCCCTATGGCTAGTGAACATTCAGCAAAGAAAGCTGAGGCCCCAAAGAGTCAGTATAAGGACCAAGTCAGCCCAGATTAACATGATTTCCTTTTCCAAGAGGGTCACTCAACTGGTACATCCAAAGAATGATTTAGATAAGGGTTTTTCATTTACGGACTTTGAACTCAGTTACAAACAATCTGATAAAATTTGATATAACTGGTGTCCTTTGTAGTCCTATATATTTCATTTCATGCATTTAAAAAGATTATTCTCTGAGAAGTGGTCGTCAAGCTCCACCAGACTGCCGAAGAGGTCCAACGTCAAGAACCACTATTTTACATAGAGTTTATCAAGATCTTTCAGACTATTCTGTGAAAATTATTGAGATATATTTCTAAAGCAAATGCTTCTAAAGCAAGCCTACTGATGGTTCCAAGATGCTGGATTTTTTTCTGTTTTGGTATTCGTGGGGAAATTATCCCAAATCTAGAAAGCAAATACTTGCTTCTAAAAAGTCTTTTAGATTGTTCTGAGCAAAGTAGCAAGGTGGTTTGGCATAGTGAATAGAGTGTCAGCCTTGAAGCTAGGAAGTCATGCGTTCAAGTCTCCCCTCTGACATAGACTCAGTAACCCTGGGCAAGTAAATTAACCTCTCAGTGATCTGAGCAACTCTTAAGATGCTGACCCGCATTGGTAGAGTTACCTCACTTGCAAATTCCCAATGAAATCATAGATCCAGTCCCTGTTCCCTATCCCAGAATAAACTGAGAACAAGTTAGGAAATTAGAACTCAAAGAATCTTTAATGAAGAAGATGTCCAATGCTCAAGAACCGTGCCCTTAGGAACTCCAAGAGGCCATAGTACCTTCAAATTTGTCTATCCTCAGAACATCATTGGGAGATAAGGAGGGGCAAAAGTTATTGGACATGGAGAAGGAGAGGCACAGAGGTATTAAGCAACAGACAAGACAAAGATACTCAGGAGTGAAGGTGAGATGAGAACTTTGGTCTTCTGTTCCCAGTTTACTTGTCTACCCATAACACTAGCCCACATTTGCTCAGAAAAAAAAAAGATAGCTACTATTTGGGATGATTTATAGACCTCAAACTATGACAGAGAGAAGTCACTCAGCAGCTGGAAAGGTGCTGGCTGCTGCTACCACAAAATAAAAGTCACACACACACACACACACACACACATTCTTAGCTTAGCTGAGTCCAAAAGCAACTTGAGAGTTATTTTCTGTTTTTACTTCTACAAAGCAGACTTAACGACCTCTGAAGCTTCCTTGACAATCAACAAAAGGGAAGCTTCTGAGCTGAAAAAACAGATGATCAGAAAACAGGTTTGTTGACAGCTTTTCAGTGGTGTCAGTGGAAATTCAGGGCTTCATAAATGATCGACTCGAGTGTCCTCTGAAATAGCACATGAGCACAGCTCATGATCAATAACTCAATCAGGAGCATGAAGCAAGAAGTGAAAGATGTAGCCCCTCTCAGAGGGAATGGGGAGATGAGGAGTGATAAAAAGAAGATGGCAGTCACTCAAAGAAATGGAACCGGAGGTCGGCCAACAACAGTTATGGCAAATGGTACCAACAGGCATCTTGATGTGGTTCAGACGATCCACACAGAGGAAACCCTGAACTATAGGCTGATAAATAGATTAACCTTGTACTGTACACCTGTGCTTAAGGCTATTTTAGTATGAACCGGACGTCCTAGAACCATAAAGTCAGGCGAAAGCAGCGGGGGCCAAACAAAGCAGTCAGACTGCTATAAAGTAATGGGGGAATTTATTGATTGAGTCAACCCCTACTGGGTAGAAACATTGCCAAAATGACAACAGTCACAGAAGCAACAGCTACGCAGAATAACACGCACAAGTACACAGGGCTGGGAAGGGACTCAAGGAAGTGTGGAAGCTGAGTCACAGCAAAATAATGTCCATTGTCCAAGCAGTGGGGGAGGTTCAAGTACACTAGATGGACTTTTTAAGCAATCTAGAATCTTTCTGGATGTCAAGTTAAATGGGAGTATTTCTAGATGCCATATTCACCAAGAGATTTCTCTCTCCACAGTAAGCAGAATAGCAGAGTGGATATCAGGAAGCCTAGGTTTCAATCTCACCTCTGATTCATACCACTTTTAATCACAGGCAAATCACTTAACTTTTCAGAGGCTCAATTTCTTCATTCCAAAGGTCAGGATAATACCCATAGCATCTCTTTTAATGTGGTTCCCTCAAAGCTACCGATTATCTCTTAATTGACAAAGTGAATGGACATCTCTCCGCCTGGATGCTTCTTTGTCCTGTCTGCAGCATTGGACACTCTTGATGACCCTTTTCTCCTGGATTCTCTCTCCCCTCTAGGTTTTCCTGACTCTGCTCCAGTTCTCCTATGTGTCTATGAGCACACTTTCTTTGTCTCTCTCGCTCTCCAGATCCCATGGGTTCAATTCTCATCTCTAGGTGAATTATTCCCAAATCTATATACCTGATCCTAACCTCTCTCCTGAGCTACAATCATGTATCACCACCTGCCTTTTGGACCCCTCAAACTGAATGTCCTGTGGTTAGGTCAATCTCAATACATCTAAAATATAGCTCATATTTCCCCTACACCTTTTAATCATTGTGGGCCACATATCAAACATTTCAATGTGGCAAATAAAGTTTTAGCAAAGCACGTTATCAGTTTCCTCTTAGATATAAAACTAAGAGGTGTCTAAACAGAGGGCATTGGTTACTCAAAGATCACAATATCAGTGACTCTTCAAAATATAGGCCAATTACACTTAAGTTATGCAAAGCATTTGTGATTTTATCACTAAAATTCTCTATAAGCACTTGTAAGAAAACAATGTGTTGGCTAAGGAACAAAAAGTGTTGTACTGAAAAGTTCTGATTTGGGTCAGGCTTTCTCTAACCCCTGAGCCAAGCTACCGCTGAATCATTTCTGATTTTGGAATTGCAGTGGTTAAAATTATAAGAAGTGGGGGCAAGGTTTGGGCTGGAGGGAAGTGTTTCTGAGAACAGTGTGTCTTTCAAGCCTGGAGCCAGCTGCTGCTGCCAGGCTCTCCACAAGGCTCCCTCTGCCAGACCCATTTCTCAGGCTTCACCCTGTGATTCTTGGAGCAACAATACCACCAGAGGGCAAGGTGAGCCCTTGAGAATCCCAACACTGCCCCCACCAGACCCTCCTTTAGAGAAGGAGTACTTACTTGACAAATGTTCCCTTAAAATTGGAAATAAACCCTCTAACCTTCCTGCTCTGGCCCTTTCCCATCCCTATAAACAGATATTGCTACTGATTTTCAAAGTATTTTCATCTCCTTAAATATAAGCAAGGAATTATCACAATCACCCAATTTCTCATTTTTGGGCTCTACCTGCTGAAGCTCTTTATTTCATAAACATTAAGGAGGTTTCTGGTGATGCCACAGACACGCTTCCTTAAACACTCCCCAACATACCCACACCCACTTGCCTATTAAAAAACTATTCAAGTTCTGTCTGAAGCAGAGAAATATCTTGCAAAAATCTTCACCCCCAAGAAAAACACTGAGACACAACCACAGCAGAGCCTCAGATGGGGATAATAAATTGTGTGTGAGAGAAAGAGACAGAGAAAGAGAGACAGAAAAAGAAAGAGAGACAGAGAGAGCAGTGGGGGAGAGAAGGGAGAGAGAGAAAAAAAATACTTAGCTACCCTTTATTTGAAGGAGACGCTTGGGGTCATAGAAAGGATTGTGTAATTAAATCAGAGCCTAGCTGATTATTGATCTCACTCTGTGAAAGATATATGGACTGGATAAGCTCTGTGGGTTGCCCACCCAATTGTACATATCATAGGCAATAATAACTTTTCATTCATTTTATGTTCCTGTAGGGATAGGTAGTGGGTGGAACTATTTAAAGTGATAACGTATCTAATTTAGAAAGCTCTGCTTTGGTTTTGGGGCTTGACACAATCAACACAATGTCATCCAGAAATAGGGGCACCTGAAAGACTTCACCATCAGTCATTTATTAATCACCTACTGCACTGTGCCAGTCTGTAGGGACTTCCCCTTCCATTTGGGTGCTGAACTGGACATTCGTCTTTAATTAACACACTTCTCCCCATTTTGTGCTTCTCTTAATATTAATTATCAGTGGGTAATTGAACAAAGTTGTCATTGATGTTAAACTTTTGAGGAATCTTGACATACATGTGGAAGTCAAGTTAAATCGACAAGCATTTATTGAGAGCCTACTATGTGCTAGGCAATGTGCTAAGCTCTGCGGATAGAAAGGTTAAAAAAAAAAAGTCCCTGCCCTCAGGGAGCTCCCAGTCTAATAAGAAAACAAAGAGCTCTGTACAAACAAGCCACAGACAGTACAGATTGGAGATGGTCCCAGAGGGAAGGCATTAGCATGAAGAGGGATGGGGAAAGACTTCCTGTAAAAGGTAGAATTTTAGCCAGGACTTGATGGAAACTAGAGAAGCCAAGAGGTGGAGATGAGGAAGGGGAGCATTTCATGCCCCGGGGACAGCCAGCATGAAAGCAGGTGAAAAGGAGATGGACTGCCACGACTGAGGAACTGCAAGGAATCCAGCGTTAGTAGATCACAGAGTATGTGGAGAGGAGGAGTGTGTAAGAAGACTGGAAAGGGCGGGAGGGGCCGGGTGATGAGGCACTTTAAAAGCCAAACAGAGGATTGTATATTTGATCTTGGAGGTAATAGACAGCTCCTGGAGTTATTGAATAGGGCAGTGACATGGCCAGACCTGACATTAGGAAGACCACTGACAGCTGAGTGCAGAATTAACTGGAGAAGGGAGAGCCCAAAGGCCTGCAGACCAACCAGCAGCTATCACAACAGTCCAGACTTGAGGGGATCAGGGTCATCCTGCACCAGGGTGATGGCCGCATCAGAGAAGAGAAGGGAGTAGATAGAAGAGGTGCTTTGAAGGTAGAATTGACAACACTTGGCAACTGGTTGGATATGGGGAGTGAAGAAATGAGTCAAGGATGACCTAGGTTGTGAGCCTGGCTGCCTGGGAGGATGGAGGCACTCTTGATAGGGGATAGGGGATAGTTTTGGGGGAAAGATAATGAGTTCAGTTTTGGACATGTTGAGTTTAAGGCCTCTATAGGACAAGAGCTTAAGAGGTCTAGAGGGGGACAGCTAGGTTGTGCAGTGGATAGAGCACCAGCCCTGGAGTCAGGAGGACCTGAGTTCAAATCCAGCATCAGACACTTGACACTTCTAGCTGTGTGACCCTGGGCAAGTCACTTAACCCCATTGCCTAGCCAAAAAAAAACCCCAAAAAACAAAAACAGAGATCTAGAGGATCCTGGAGGATAGGAGAGGGATTAGGACTGGAAAGGTATATTTCAGAATCATCTGCACAAAGATGATAATTAAATCATAAAAGGCACCATGCTGGAAGGGAGCTGTTAAGGAAGCACTTTGCTCTGCCAATCAAGTGCATTCTCTACACCTGTCAGCCAATTGTGTGACCTACTAGAGAACAGCTTATGGAGAAGTCTTCGTGTTCCCTTCTCAAGTCTCGAGGATGTCTTCCATAGGCCTGTACGTTACTCTCAGAAATGTCATCCACGTGTGCCAGTGGGCACGTGACTCTGTAGTTATGGCAACTCACACAGCCCTTCATGACCTTAAACATTTCTCTGAAACAAAGGCTTCTATTTTTGGTTAACAACATTCTTCAGAGGACGTTGTGCGTGAGTCATGGCATAGCACAGCACTGAAGAATTCGAGTCGAGGGTCACCTAGAGGGCATGAAGAGGCATGAGCATGCTGCAAAGCAATGCCCATGAAGAATGGCACCAGAGAAGGGGGAGTTGTAGGACCAGAGAACATGTAGGGGACCCTGGCATTCGATTAGTGAATGCCCCCCTCATCACATGTGGACTCTTTGTGGCCATGGCCATGCTTTGCCCAGTATGTGTCCTCCTCTCCTTGGCTTTCCAATTCTAGCTCTAAAATTTGTTATCTAATCTATGCCACCATTTCTGAAAAGGAGATGTCAGTCAGTCACAAGAGGACACCAGTCACCATTCCCTCTGGCCGCCCTGGACATATTCCTCTGTATATGCTGTCTTCCCCTACCAGATGTGAACTCTTCGAGGGCAAGAATTGTCTTATTTGTTTATAATTGAGTCTCTAGCACTTACTATAGTGTCTTGTTCATGGGGGAAACAATAAATGTTTTCCATTCATTCATTCGTTGATGGCCAGTTACTTAGTGAGCATAAGGGGTATCCCATGTGCGCCAATGGTGTCCACGGAATTTTCAGAGAACTAAAAGAGAACACACATAGACAAACTGATATGCATCATCAAGGGAAGAATCATATCAATGAACTCATGGACCTCTGTATGGAGCCAAGTACACCCTGGAGCGACAAATTCAGATCCCTTACTCTAACATTTCCTGAGCTTCTGCCACTGACGGTTTGCCTTCATGTCACATTTGGAGATCTGGGTCTCTGGAAAATGTCAGCAAGAAGTTTCCACCACGTTTGGATCAATACTGATTTTCCCATTAAGAACCAAAATGAGCTGCGGCAGGACACTCCAGCAGCCAGTGGCATTTCTGGGAATGCTGCCTGGGAAGGCTGGAGTGCCAATCTTCACCACTGACGGTTGCACACCCTGAAATCATTGGCATCAAATGTAACCCCTGAAGAACTTTGGGGCTTTGGCTGGCAACCACCTTGTCCTGGGAGAAAGGGAAGCCAGGTCTTTCCGCAAGTTCTGCCGAAAGCACCGTTGACTGTCTCAGACAAGAGGCTGACCACAAGCCTGCGAGACTGGAGAAGGTGAATAAAACTGGTGTACCTCATCCTTTCTGTTTCTCTTCCTGAAAATATTTACCGTTTGCAAAATTTACACACAAGCACACACACACACACACACACACACACGTGCACACACATAAACAAAACCACAATATAGCTGTGGTGTTCATTTGCAAATATCCCTGGGGAGGTTTCATTTGATTATGAAAAACATTTTGTGAACAGATGTAATCCATTAAAATTGTGTGGGTGGAGTGTCTGGGATCTGGCCACAGCTGAATATTGTGCCGTTTATTTCCTTGGGAAAACTAAAGGTCAGTGGTATCTATAACTTGACAAATGCTTTCTCCAAAGAAATTCAGAGCCTAGAATCACTGGGGGCTTGTACAATAACGTGGTTTTTTAATAGTTTCAACAAAAAAAAAGAAAGAAAAAGAGTTACACGTGCTGAAATCTCCTTCTAGCTGTGCTGTTCTTATCTTGGGTGAAAGACTCCATTGCTACCTATGTTATGGTCAAAGAGAACCCCCAGAAAAGTAAGAAAACATAAAAACTTTCTACATGAAAAGGATTGTAGATGTGGAACTGGCAGGACCCTTAGAGATCGTCTGACCCGTCCTTCTCATTTGGCAGACAAGGAAACCAAAGGCCAAAGAAGAAGTGAGTTGAGTTGTTCTGCCAGGTCACGCAGGGCCTAAAGCTCGAGGAAGCACCAGGCTTGAAGTCTTGGTTCTCTGACTTCCAAAGTGGCAGGCTCTCTGGGCTGCCCCTCAAAGCAAGCCTGCCTTGGTGAGGGAGAGCTGAGTCCGTGTGCCGCACAGTGGTGCCACCCAGCCCCTGCTTGTGCCTTAACGAGTATTTTCTTATCCTGATGTCCTTGGCTAGGGTGGAATAATTCTACAACCGTTTTTACAAGTTTAGGGAGATAAAATTGTATACATTTTTACTACATCTTAAAATTAGATTTTGTTCATATCTAAGTATTCATTCTTGTACTCTACAGAACTGAGTGTGCCAATTTTTTCAAAACAATCTGGCTTGTGCTTTAAGATAATGAAAATCCTTTAAAATAAGCAAGTTTTGAAACTTTAAAAAAATTTTGAGATTTTAGGGATCACAGCCATTCAGGAGACAGGCCTTCCTCCTTATTACAGACCACAGGAGGACCACAGGACTTTGTCCAGTCTCAGGTGTAAGAGTCACGGCAATCCCTTCCATTAGATAAACTCTGTCAAGCGTAGCTTTGTGTTCATATGTTGCACAGCGTCTTAGCACCCTCCGCCTCCTTTTTACCAGTCCCCCATCACTGTGGAAGTAGAAGGGGGCGCATGGAATTAGGGGTTATTTTAAGAATCTTTTCTTTGTTTTATTGGCTGTGAGGCCAAAGAATTCATCATCTACAGGCCAGCTGACAATGAGCCTCTCTGTATTTAACTAGAGCACCTTGGGATAGTAGGCTCAGTCTGTTGCTTCAATGATACTCAAAGCCTTTCTAGTTCAGTTGAACCTGCTACAGCTTCCAGGGGTAGGGAACCTGTGGCCTTGAGGCCACATGTGGCACTCTAGGTCCTCTAGTGGGGCCCTTTGACTCCAAACTTCACAGAACAAATCCCCTTAATAAAAGAATTTGTTCTGTAAAACTTGGACTCAGTCAGAAGGCCACACCCAAGGACCTAGAAGGCAAGTAGGGTGGCCTCGAGGCCATACGTTCCCCACCCCTGTTACACTATCCCCTAGAGTGGTTATCAAGGACCTAGGGTCACCCCCATGAGCCAATGAGGCGTGGGTGCTGGATCTGGTGAGGCCATCCCATTTGGGGCACCAACATCTGTGACTTGCACTGATTCTGGGACAAATCAAGAGACATCAGTTGGGACCTAATCTGACCAATGAATCATTCACACCAAATATTTGGGTAGTGTTAACTTTTGCTGTCTTTTGCCTCCAGTGCTACCAGTGGCTGAAGGAAAAAATCATAAGTGAAGAAGGAAGAAAGCAGCAAACCAAGCTGAAGGATCTTACTCCGATAGCGGAACGCCTGGGCTGCACTCTGCCTCAGCTAGCAGTGGGTAAGAGCCAGCAGTCTGGGAGGAGCCAGGCTCTTCCTGGCCTCACAGACTGCGTCTTTTTCAATCTCTCATTCGTGCTGTTTGTTGTGAGACTAATTTCAGACATCCATTAATATTCTCTCAAGTGAATTTTCCAAAAATCCAAAGTAGTTTCTCCATTCCCAGATGTGTCCTTCCTCATTCCTTATTTATTCATTCAACGTACTGACTGTGGGGCCTAGGCCCTGGGGATAGAAAAACCAAAAACCAAAATTATTTCTGATCCCAAGGAGCTTACATTAAATAATAACACACATGTTCAGACATACACACACACACACACACACACACACACACACACACACATACATTTAGAAAGAAGTGGTAACCGGCCTTTCTGGTCCCATCCATTCCCTCTCATGTACTTTCACCCTTGTTTAAACAGTATTCAGGAGAGGGCCCAGTTCAATAATGATAAAGAAGCAGAGGGAAGCTCAATTCAACTCAACAAACATTTATTTAGGGCCTCCCAAATTCCAATTTCTGTGCTGGGTGCTGGAGGTACAAAGACAAAGATGAATTGGTCCTTGTCCACAATGAACATTTATTCTCCTGGGGGATTCATAAGCATAGACAAAGAAGCCACACAAGGCAAATTGGAAAGGAGAGCCCTAACAGCTGAGGGGCTGGGGTGTTGGCCAGGAAATGCTGCCTGCGGAATTTCATAGTTGACCTCTATTTCAAAGGAAGCTGGGATTCTGGGAGGGGATGGTGAATTCCAAACATGAGAGACAGTCTATGCAAAATCACTGAGGTAGGGAATCAACCGCAGTGCATAAGAAACAGCCAATATGCCTGTTTGTCTTCTATGGAGAATACACGAAAGGGAAGTCGTAGGAGAGAAAATGAGAAAAAGTAGGTGGGAGTCAGATGACGGTAGGCTTCAAATACCAAGCTATGAATGATATTATCATTTATCCTAAGGACGAGAGGGAGCCAGTGAAGATTTTTAAGTAGAAGAGGAACACGGTCAGATTTGCATTTTAGAAATACCATTTTGTCGGAATGCACCAGCACACCAAAGCTGTTCTTAGAGGAGAATACCACTTAGATTTCTTAAGGTATAATGAGAGAAGCTCAGCTGATTGGTCAGCAATAAGCAAACAGGCAGAGGAAGACAATGGAAAACCGCCTCCATCTGGAGGGCTCTAAAGTGACCATATCAAAAGACAGGATGGCCAGGATTTAGGAACAAAGCTATGCCTACCACCCTCTCCCGCCATTGTCAAGCTCTCTGCTTTTCCCCCACTCTCCGGTCACCTGGACGACACTGTCATTTACTCAGAACACCAGAAATTTCTCAAAATCTCCTCCAACATGAGAACCCCACTGGAAGCCCTTCTAGTGCAAGAAACACATCGAATTAACTAAAGAGATGCCATGTAGAATAAGTAAAACCACAGGGATGGTCAGAGAAGTTTCCTAGAATAAAGCATTTTTTTCCTTGAGTTTTGAAGGAAGTAATGGGACCTAGACAGGCAGATGGGGAGACTGGGGTAGGGGGACAGATAAGATCAAGAAAAGATGGCTGACATTTCAAGAGCAGCTTTGCTTTCCCCACATTATCTCCTTTGAACCTCACCACAACCCCATGAAGTAGATACTACAACTATCATTACCTCCATTTTACAGATGAGCATACTGAGGCTGAGAAAGCTTAAGTGAGGGTTGCTGATAATCCACTTAAAAAAACAGTAACCATTTAGAGCACCTCTTTCTATAGTGGCCAAGAACTGGAATAAGGAGGAAATGGCTGAAGAAGTTATGGTATATGAATGCAAAGGAAATTTTTCATGCCATAAAAAAATGGTGAAAAAGATGATTTCTAAGAAACCAAAGAAGACTTGTATGAACTGAGAGAGTTAAGTGAGCAGAACCAAGAGTACTTTACATAATAACAATATTTCAAAGTCAAAAAAAACTTTAAAATACTTAAGATCTCTGATCAAAACGATGACAAACCATGATTCCGAAGGACTGACGGTGATCTATGTGATTCACTTCCTGACAAAGTGTTGATACATACATTCAAGGTGGAGAATGAGAAACATTTTTGGGCACTGACAGTGTGAGAATTTGTTTTGCTTGACTATGTTTATTTGTTACAAAGGTTTTGTTTTTATTTTTTCTTTTAAATTGGGGGTATATGGGAGACAGAGAAAATAAATGCTTGTTAATTGGAAAAATAACATTAAAAAATAAACTTGAACATTACGTTATCTAAGGTGCTTGTAGAGTAGGTAGAAATGGCACTAAAAGGAAGAAAAAAAAAAGGAAAAGGAGCAGCTAGGTGGCGCAGCGGATAGAGCACCGGCCCTGAAGTCAGGAGGACCTGAGTTCGAATCCGGCCTCAGACCAAACACTTGACACTTACTAGCTGTGTGACCCTGGGCAAGTCACTTAACCCCAATTGCCTAAAAAAGAAAAAAAAAAAAAAAGGAAAAAACCAGCCAACTGTATGAGGCATAAATAAAGGAGAGACATCTGTGCCAAAGGTGATACAATTGTGAGAGCATCAGTGGATTACTATTTAAGTTATCTGGATATGAAGACACCAAAAGCATGAAAAAAATCCTTAGTAATATCCGCTGAAAGTGACCAAGATAAAACACTAACTACTGACCTATATGCCTACCCTCTCATCTGAACAATATCTTATGAGAGTCATTGATACATGAATAGAGGGCATCCTGAATGCCCTTTATTAGTAAGGAACAAGCTGGTTTTTGAAAGTCATATTCAACAATGGACCATGTCTTTATCATCTCACTAAAGGATATGGAGACCATTGTAGCTTGGAGGTCCCACTGCACTGACTGTTGATCAACAAAACATTTTATGAGGTAGAACAAAGCACTACCCTAAAGGCCTTTTTACAGCAAGATATTTCCCATCTACACATCAAGATCATTCAAGATTCCTTATAATAACAGAAATAACCCTGTTCAGTGACCCTCAGCTAATAAATAGAAGGTGAAGCATAAAACATGGAGATGTATGTTAGCTGAAGTATTCACCACTGGGATGGAGAAGCACAGAGTCTAGGTTGAAAAGGGATTTCCAGTAGATGATGAGATCCTCCTGATGCTCTTGTTTTTATAAGATGTTGTGCTAATTGCATCAAGCCCTAAGATGTTGCAGAGTCTCCTGGAAGAGATCTGGACTGGATCAAAAGAGTTTGGTCCTGTCCATCAACAAAAGAAAAACCAAGTGGATGAAAAATGTCAGTTGCACAGATTTCAATATGCCTCTGGGCAGATACCGTATAGATCTTGTGCAACTGTATGTATATATGGAACAGATAATAAAAGTAGACAACATGAAAACGAAGACCCGGGGCAGCTAGGTGGCACAGTGGATAGAGCACCGGCCCTGGATTCAGGAGAACCTGAGTTCAAATCCGGCCTCAGACACATAACACTTACTAGCTGTGTGACCCTGGGCAAGTCACTTAACCCCATTGCCCAACCAAAACAAAAAAATTTAAAAAAAAGAAAATGAAGACCCAACTCTTCAATGTGAACACTTTACTAGTGTTGATATATGGCAGCGATACCTGAAGAAATAGATGAGTATCAGACAGAGGGCAATGGAAAAGTGCATGGTGGATGTGAGCAGACTTCACCATACAACTGATGAGGAACTCTGAAGAAGAAGAGGTATGAAGGTCATCATCAAAGAATTCTAGGATGGGAAGAAAAGATAGCTTGGTCACTTGGCAAAAACCAAGGATGGTAGGTGGGTAGACAGAGTACTTAGCAGAGCACTTTTGTGATGTGAGGAGAAACTGGAGAAGGCGTCTAGCATGTTGGGTGGACTCTCCCATGGCAAACTTCTGGGAGAATTTGGTCAAGGGTCCTGGAGGCTGGGCAGGCGCATGTAATTCACACTACATCCTCCTGAATCGGTGAGATCACAGATCTATTTGAGTAACGTTTGGAGACAGAGAAAAGGGAGCCTCAGTTTCCCCATCTGTAAAATCAGAAGGCTAGTTTATGTCTAAGTTGTCTCCCAGTTGCAATATTCTACATTCTATGGTATGTTGTTGTTATTGTTTTATACTAATTTTCTTTGTTATTGTAAACTTAACAATAAACAAACATGCCAGTGTACAAAAAACAAGAAGTTTGTATAAGAAACTGTGAACTTGTTACCTACAGGTTCTTTTTACTTATAGAAAGGAGCTAGAAACTACACCTGAGCCTGTCTTCTCCTTGGCTCTGGAAAGGCATTGCCATAGCGTGTGTCTTTAGAGGCTCCCAAGAAGGGAGATGAGATGCAGGAGAAAGAAGCTGAGGCGGGATTTTCCTAACATCTCTCTAGACAGCTGACTATCTCCCCATTGGTGTTTGGAGAATCTAGCGGTCCTTATTAACACTAAAATCTTAGATCTTCTTAATATCCTCATTAAAAAAAATCAACCAAGAATATTGAGAACTACCCACCTCCATGCCTCTTCTTCCACTGTATGAAGTCTTTATGAGAGGCTCTCTATCTGGTAGAGAAATAAGTAGGGTGGGGGATGGAGGGGAGTGAAAAAACACCAACTTAAGCCGGTAATTTAGTTGATTGTGATTTAGGGTCCTTTAAATTCAACTTTGAAAGTGTGGAAATGCTTTTCATGCCTAGAGAGGGGAGTCTCTGTTGACTTAAGCATTGCCCTACAATCCTGATGGATACATTCATTCTTCATCTCCATAACTTTTTCTACAATCCACTTCTGTCCCCTACCTCCACCCCAGAAGCACAGAGCAAACAAACATTTTTCCATCTTCCCAATTTCTTTTCACCCTTCATGAACAAGTTTCCACCACAAATCTATGACGGCATTAAGTGGGAAGTTAACTGGGGTCACCCTGCCCTTGATCCACTGTGGTGCCCAGAGATAAACCACAGCTCCAGAAGGAAATGAGCCGTTTGAATAAACATCCCTGCCCCCTGGCACCCTGCTGCCTACACCTGCATGCAGAGTGGGTTTCTGGGAGTCCTGGGATGTGACAAGCACCTTCCGTGGCTGTTTACATGACCGTCTGAATATTCACCAACTTCTGTGGTGACATTCCATCAATAATTATCACAAATCATCTGCAGGTGTGGTTACCCACGGATTTGGGCAAATCTGCAGAACAGATGCATCCATTGGCAGGGCGACAAGGGAGGAGTCTGCCCTCCCATTGCAGGGTAGACTAAATGGTTTCTTGGAATTAGCGATCTCTAAGAGAACATGAGTTCTTAACTTGGAGTCCAGGATAGGATTCTGGAGGTCCATGAACTTGGTTGGGGGAAAATATATACCTTTATTTTCACCAACTTCTAACTGAAATTTAGCATTTTCTTCCACTGTGATTAAAACTTTAAAATCGGAGAAGAGCTCCAGGCTTCCCCAGACAACCAAAGGGGTTCACGATGTAAAAGAGCCTCTGCTCGAGAATATCCATGAAATGTCATTATATAGAGAAATCATAGGATGTTAGAGATGGAAGGCCACTTGGTCCAAGCCCTTCTTTCCACAGAATGAGGTAAATGAGGTTTAGAGACAGGAAAGGATTTGTCTAGGGAGTGACCTAGTACATGTCTGAGCGAGGAGATGAACTCAGGTCTTTTCCCACCAGCTGTTCTGACCCACTCCATGAACATCCTGCCGTCCCTAGGATAAGCTCGTCATCAAGGACTTCTTCTGCTTTGATACTCACCACCTCCTCAACACCCTCCGTTGCCTCTCTCCTCTGACTCAAAGACTCCCATGGCCTCCCTTTAGGGAGGGCTCAGAATTTTCCAGCCAGCTATTCATTTCCCACCAGCTCCTCTGCCTGGTTTCCACTCCGTAAACATCATACTACCGTTCCCCGACCCCTGACCTCCTGAGGTCCTCCCTTCCTCCCTTTCAGCTGCCTTTTATAAATTGTCTCCTTCCATTTGAATATAAGCTCCTTGAGGACAAGGACTAAACTTCTTTTTCTGATTGTATTCCCAGCACTTTAGCACACTGGCACACAGTAGGTGCTTAGTAAATGTTTATTGACAATTGATGAGGTCTTCTGACTCTAAGTTCAATGTTCCTTCTAAGACACCATACTGCCTATAATGCTCTGTACCCAGACTTATAACTTCATTCAGTCAGTCAATAAACATTTATTAAGCACCTACTATGTGCCTGGGGTTGTGACAGGATCTAGGCATACATAGTTAAAAGAAAAATAATTCCTACCTTGAAGGACTTATATTCTATTGGGGAAAAACATATACACATAAAAATAAACACAAAATTTATAATGATATGGTTATCATATCTTCCGGGGTAAGAAGACACCAGCAACTGGAGAGATGCCCTCCAGGAGGAAGTGGCATCTAAGCCGGAGAAGATTCACCGCCGGGAGGCAGGAGATGAATGATGATCCATCAAAGGAGACGGAGAGGAAATGGTCAGGCAGGTGGGAGAAAACCCTGGAAAGAGCAGAGGGATGAAAAAAGGATGAAAACTCAGAAAGGAGGTGATCCAGGAGAAGGGGATGAGCCGCGTCAAAAGTTGCAGAGAGGTCCCATAGGGCAAGATCTGAGAAAAGCCTCTTCAGATTTAACGGGAAAGTAACAGAGTCACTTCAGTCAAGGTGCCTATGTACTATGTAATGGGGAGTAAGCTAGTATCTTTCTAAGCTTTGGGTTCTCTATCTGCGAAATGGCATTGTAACAGCTATAATACCCAGCTCATGGGTTATCATGATGCTCCAAGTGCGTAAAATGCTCAGTAAACCTTGAAGCTTGAAAGAAATGCCAGCTACCATCATCATCATCATCATCATCACCATCAAAGAGTCCCTATTAAAATGGAACTACTCTTAGGAATGATGACACCTTAATGGGATTAGCTGTCAGCCAAGAGCAGGACCCTACAGAAATGGGAAACCATTTAAGGGTCTAAGGTCAAGGGGCTTATGAAAGTGGAGGTGGAATGTACCATGGTATGGAGGCCCATAGCTCCCATGGGATAAAAGTTGGCCTATCTACCCTACAGGGTTGCACTTTGTAAATAAAAATGTTGTTATTTTTATTATTATGAACAACACTTATATGGTACCTTAAGGTTTAACAATCACATTACACACGTTATTCCTCTGATAGTTTTCAGAAGTGCTTGGAAGGCATGATTGGTTTTTCTTTTTCCCTAGCATGGTGCCTACGGAATGAGGGAGTGAGCTCTGTTCTCCTGGGGTGTTCCAATCCTGAGCAACTCATAGAAAACCTCGGTGCCATACAGGTAAGTACACCCACTACCAATGAGTTCCATCAAGAATGATCTCTTGTACTATGGAGTTCCTTTGAGGCTCTCCCCAGATGGCAGTTTCATTCTCCTCATCTCGATGCTTCAGAGAAACATAACCTTTGAGTTGCCAGGAAGCCCCAAACTCCAAAAATGAGTAATATCTAGTTTGGAAACAATTATAATATAAAGCATCAATCTTAGCCAATGAACAACGCTGGTCTGTTTGCCAATGAATTATCAGTAAGTCCGGTGGACTCTGATTCCATCGAGGGGTGGACTTATAGCAGTATTATCTCAATTTAAAATACATTACTTCCCGTTGTGCTGCACTTCACAACTGAGAACAAATGAATGAAAAGATAGTTACTAAGTTCTTACCATGTTCCAAGTACTGTGCTGAGTTAATGAAGATTTTAATACAAGCAAGATGATCCCTGCCCTCAAGGAGCTTATATTCTAACAAGGCAAGACAACACATAGAGGGAATGGTGTCCAGGGAGGGGTGTTTTGGTCAAGGAAGTCAGAAAAATGATGAGCAGAAATAAGCTACTGATTGACATATCCTTTCCCAGAGAGACTGTGCTCAATTTTATTATTGTTCCCAGAGATAAAGGTGGAAAGCCATGGCATTTGTTGGTAGTGGGAGAGGGGGCTGCCCAGGGCAGGGTAGGGGGAGGAGAAGAAAGGTATGCTGATGAAAGTATGACATTAGAATGGCCAGAGAGCAACAATGTAGAAGGTCTGGATCAGTTGCAAATGTTTAACGACAGATTCTCCAAATGAAAAAAATGTGTGTGTGTATGTGTGTGCACGTGCATGCATGTGCATGTGTGCATGCGTGAGTGTGCACATTACCCACTTTTAAGTTTAATCTTCATTATTAACATTTTCTCCACTATTTTCTTAAGTTTAGACACAAATAGAAGTAGGGCCACTAAGGGATTCCTACACAAGGATCTCTGAGCTGCGTATTGACTTTGTTTTTAAGTGTGATATTATCTATGTTTTATTGTATTTTTATTTATTTTGTTCAATATTTCCCAACCATATTTTAATCTGGTTTGGGCTGAATGGTAGTGCTGTGGGCCACATGAAGCTGAGGATGTGTCACCTATGGTCAACAAAACAACAAATGAAGCTCTGGTTTGTAGCATTTGCTATTTCCAAGGTGTCAATGCTCACACCAAAAATTTAACAATTGGCTTGGCTCAAGGTGACTCCTGCATAGCCTGTTTCTGGGTCAGAGCAGAAATGGTGAAACCTTCACAATGTCAGTGTTGAGAATTTGAAAAAGAAGTGTGTACACTGACCTCCCTGAAGACTTACATGAACTGATACAAAGTGAAGTAAGCAGAACCAGAAGAAACATCGTACATAGTGACAGCAATACTGTACAATGATCAGCCGTGAATGATTTAGCTCTTCTCAGCAATACGTTGATCCAAGACAATTCCAAAAGACCCGTGATGAAAAATGCTATCTGCCTCCACAGAGAGAACTGATGAACTCTGAGTGCAGACTACAGCATATTTTTTTCATTTTATTTTTCTTGCATGTTTTGTATGACTTTACATGTCACATGTCACTTCACACTGATAATATTTTTTTGCCTTCTCAATGAGTAGGGGAGGGTGAGAAGAACAGAGAATTTAGAACTCAAATATTTTTAAATGAATGTTAAAAACAAATAATAGTTTAAAAACTAAAATAATTTTCAAAAATTTTAATTACTTTCTCTCCTCCCCCTCCCCCCTCCCCCAACATCATCTTAGAATCAGATTCAGAACTGGAAGGGAGCTTACTGACCATATGGTTCAATCCCCCTCATTTTATAGATGAGGAAACTGAAGCTCAGAGAGGTTGTGACTTGGCCAGGGTCACACAACTAGTAAGTGTCTAGGCCAAGATCTGAACAAAGATTTTACTGGCTCTAAGTCCAGTGCCCTATCCATTATGCCATTATGCCTTCCATCTTCATCTAGTATTATTTTACTGTAGGGTTCCAAGGATGGACTGTCCATCTGCTGCCTGACGATCATCCTAGCTAGATCAGAGACTTATAAGCAGGATAACTGCAGAACGATGAATCTGGGAGTCTGAGCAACTGTTATTAAGTGATGGAGAAGGTACAATCCATGTTGGTGGAAAGAGTATCCATAACCAACACAATGACAGATTCTTGGAGTATGAAATATCATTTTTAATACACAAAGAAATTTTTGCAAAAACTAATAATAATTCATCCTGATTTATTCCAGAGGTTTTTTTCTCTGTATGACAAATTCAAAAGAGATGTAACAGCTTGAAGGTCTCAAGATTTATAAATGTAGCCCACCGGACTCTGCATCTGTAGACTTTGAATTGGAAGTCTGTGGTTTGAAGGTTTTTTGAGTTACTGTTTCCACTTTACAGCAACAATATTTTAGGTTGAACAATGAAAATCAATTTAGTCAATGAATCAATGAAAAGTAAACATTTACAAAGCACCCACTATGTATCTGGCATAGAATTGGGGTGAGGGGAGTTGTGCGTTGTTAACACTCACTGTTAAAACACATTTAACACTCATCGTTAAAATGAATCTGTTAACTGAAAAACACATTTCTAGGCTATGAAATAAGGAGTGTGCTGTGGGATTCATTACAAAAAGATTTTATTGGCACCTGCTTTTAAGATCTCCCCAAACTACTTCATCTTCCGAAGCGCTCCTCAACTTCTCTATTAGGAAAATGTTGTTGTTGGTGGTGGTGGTGGTGGTCAATTAACCACAGGCGGAGAACTTCACATTCTTTGCTACTCAGGGAGGATACGATCTTGGAAATGGACCTTACTTTGTGTTCCTCTTCCAATGAGTTCCTGCTACATTTTTCTTACTTAAAGTTTGATTTCCATATTTGGTCACCTGGTTATAGTCATGGCTAATCAAGGCAAAGTTTCTGAAGTTTGATTCTTTAGTTTTTGGAACTATCTCGGACAACAAGAACACTAAAACAGATTTCACCACTAATGAATGAATTACTAACCAGACCTTACAGGCAACACGGCATTTGTGGAGAGAGAGAGCCAGCCTCACAGCCGGAAAGACTGGCTTCAAGTCCCGCTTCTGACACCTGTAGGCTGTGTGACCCTGAACAAGTCCCTTCACCTCTTAATGTTCCAGGCAATTCTTTAAGACTGTAAGTTGCAGAGAAAGTGCCAACCTGCATTGGTAAAAGGAGTTTCCTTATCTGGGAGTTCCATATACTAATGCAATCCCAAGCTCACTTCCCATCTTGTAACTGATCAGCTGTTTCCAATCCAGAAAATCCAGATCCAGATCTCAGTCCAAAGGCTTTGATTCTTTTGAGGGAAGGGCTAATAAGGAGATGCAGATATAATGGTAATGATGATGATGAGGAGGAGAAGGAGGAGGAGGAAGAGGATGAGGAAGAGGAAGAGGAGGAAGAAGGAGATGGAGAAGGAAGATGGAGTGAAAGGAGGAGAAGGAAGGAGGGGAGGGAGGAAGAAGGCACATTTATAGAGTACTTTTCAGTTTGCAAAACCATGGATATTGTACTAATGCAACTAGAGTCAAATAGTGTGACTGAAACGAGGATCATTATTCATCTACATAGCTCCACGTATAGTAGCAAACTATTCCAGAGAGGAATCAACTTTGTTCCTTGGTCTATGGAGCAACCTATGCCATGATAGCTTTCTAATTCTGGATGGAGACCCTGTCCCGGGTCAGGTACTGTGGGCTTTACCAGGCCTGTTCAGTGGGTCTTTTTCACTCTCTATTCCAATTTGCCTCCTTTTTGGGACTCAAGACTAGCTAAATCAAGTGTTAATTTGAGACCAAGGGTCCTAGTAATAGCCATGGAGACAAAAGGGCCCCACACACTTGTGAATGTAACCCTTGTTACCTCTCTGCCAAGGAGAAATCTACCTAAGGATGAAGCCTGCTGGTTGGGTCAGACCTCTGCTCCTGGTTCCATGAGCCAAAGAAGTATTGTGTCTTAAAAGGACAGGTTGGTTTTCTCCCTATCCTGGAAGAGGACTGAGAGGCTCTAACTGCATGAATTCTGAGAACTGGATTGGTAACTGGATTGACAGCACTGCTTTCTGCCTGCCCTAGGAGAGCTGAGATTCTTGGGAGAACATGCATGGATACAGGGGTTGGAAAGAAAGGATACGTTGGCAGATTGGAACAAGAAAAAGCAGTGACAATGAGCTGGCAGTGATCGGGGAGGGGCGAGGGAGACAGAGGCAGAGAGAGAAAAGAGAGAGAAATAGGAGAGACAGAGAGAAAGAGGAGAGAGAGAGAAGAGAGACACAGACAGAGCCAGAGCCACAGAGAGGGAGAGAGAAGGAGAGAAGGGGGGAGAGAGAGAAATAGGAGGGGAGAGAAATAGGAGAGGAGAGAGAGAAGAGAGAGATGGAGAGAGAAAAGAGAGAGACGGGGAAAGAGAGAGAGAGAGACACAGAGAGATAGAGAATACTTATTTACAGCAGACACTTTGCATAGACTCAGATTGAGATGAAAGGGTAGCTTGGGCACCATCTCTTCAAATTCCTGGTGAAGGGTTTAATTCCTCTGCACTCCCCCACCTCTGCCCCCAGCTCCACTGCTGCCATGCCACAGACTAAAGATATTACTATAAGAATTCTCCGCAGTTTAAGTTGTCCCTATTTTCTGATTTTGCTGGTAGTGCCTTAAAAACTATAATTTGGGGGCAGCTAGGTGGCACAGTGGATAGAGCACTGGCCCTTAAGTCAGGAGGACCTGAGTTCAAATCTGGCTTCAGACACATAATACTTACTAGCTGTGCAACCCTGGGCAAGTCACTTAACCCCAATTACCTAAAAAAATAACAAACAAACACTATAATGTAAAATGATGACTGCTCATAATCGCCATGTGATTTTTTGTCAATTATTAATTTGCAAACAGGGGAGCAACCACAGAGGGGACTAATAAACAGCTAGAGTCTGGTACAGAGAGAAAAGTAGAGGTCTGACCCATCTGTCTAAAATAACTTAGGTTTTTTTATCCTAGCCTAGGGGCTCTGCATTCTAATTGTGAAGATGTTATCATTTATTAATTTTGATTAATAACTTTTGGTAAATTTCCCAAAATGAGAATTTAAACTGAATCCAGAGTTTGTCCTGTGGTTTTGAAATCAAAATTTCAAGCCAGGCAGCCATTGTAGTCTGGTGAGGGGGATGAACCAGCACCTGGATGCTATGTCACTTTCCTGTAATGTCCTCTCCTTGGACATGCCCAATAGAATACGGGCTGTACTGAGAAGGAGCCCACCTGGTACGATCAGAAAAGTATGGTTTGGGAAGAATGGCCATGCCCCCAAAATTCCAAAGGTGGAGGCCAAAAGGAGGAGCACCACCTAGTGGTTAAACATAAAATAGATGTTCCACTTATACCTACATATTTAAAGACTTAATTAATTTTTATTGCCATTTACTTTTATACCATTTAAGAGAAGATATAAACTCAAGATTAAAATTTTTATTTTACTTTTCATTTTTTAAATTTTCATAGGCTACCTGTGTCTTTACTTGTGTCTCTGCAGCAACTCACAACTTCATGGGTATTAAGAATTACATCATCCTTAACTCTTTCAAGTTAATGCTTTCACAAAGTATTATTTTAATACTTAAATGAACTATACTTAGTAATTACTTAAATGAACTATACTTAGACTTTTTAATGTGTTTTTTAGGGTGATCTGTAGTGCTCAATACCACAATAAGATTCTCCAAATAAGGCTAGATTAAATCAGCTATGGATTTCCAGGTGAAAACATTTGGTCAAATACATTTGTGGCTCTCTGTAGATCTCTATATTTTGACACTTCAGGTATCTATGATTGTCCACATAGATAATCTCTTTGCAAATCCAGATTGCAACACCTTGACATCCTACTCAACTGTCTTTTTTAATTCCTAGAAGCCCCCAGATTTTATCACCCAGTGGCCAACCTCCTAGCGATGTGGCTGGCCAATCTTAGTTAGATTGCTCTTCGAGCTGACATATAATTTGTAAACAGGCCTAAAGTTATCATCCGATTTCTTCTCCATTAGAATGGAAGCTCTATGAAGGTAAGAGTCAGTTTTTTTGGCGTTTTACTTTATATTCCCAGTGCTTACCACAGTGTCTGGAACATAGTTAGCATTTAATAAATGCTTCTTAATTGATTATTTCCACCTTGGTAGATCCTGCCAGAGCTTGTGGTCTGCTGGCGTCGGTCTTGGGAACTGAGGGTCATCTGCTGAACATGAAGAGGCATTACAGGGTGTTCACAGAGAACCGTCTTAAGTATGCCAGACAAATGAAACTCAAATCTGTCTATTCAATCCAATTAAATACAACAGGAAATCATAAAGTTCTTCTATGTGACAGACACTATGCTGGTCAGTGGTGGCACAGGGGAACAGAGTGGTGGCCTTAGAATTCGGAAGATCTGAGTTCACATTTTGTGACCATAGGCAAGTCTCTCCACTTGTCTCAGTTTCCTCATCTGTAAAATGAGGATTATAACAACACTTACCTTCCAGATTTGCTGGGAGAATCAAATGAGATAGCATAAGGGCCACAGAAACGCTAGCTATTATTATTGCTATTAAAGCTGTCATTATTAGCATACAAAGACAAAAGCCACAGTCTCTGCCCCGAAGGGGCTTCCATTTGGCTTGGAATGATACACCCGCCATTTGTTTTCCTTTTCTCTCTGTCTCAGGTCCTCCCAAAGATGACATCACACGTGGTGAACGAGATCGACAGCATCCTGCGAAACAAGCCGTACAGTAAAAAGGACTATCGCTCCTAATCCGCTGCATGAGGCCATGGAAGTGCATGGTTACAATAGGGGCTGTACCCAGTTCAGAACTGTTCCAATATCCAGTCATCCAAGTCACTTAGCAGCCTGCTGCTCAACCTCTAGCGTTCCTGGATCTCCGAGGTGTCCGCTGTCGCTACCACTGTGCGTGGATGTTTGAAAGCACACGCGAAAACTCACCACGCCGCCTAGAAGAGCGATTCTATTTTCTTATCTACCACTAAAGCCGCCGCCGATCCTTGCTCTGTGTACCTCATGCTTATGCAATGAAAAGTAGATGGAAAACAAAAACGAGATCTATATCCTTCAGGGATCTGGTAACTTGAAGAAGGCTGTACAGATATATTTTTTCAAACGAACAAAATCCACAGATGCGATTGTGAGATATTAAAAATGTCTTAGCTACAGTCTTGATAAGGCTTAGGAAGCAGGAGTAATTTCGGGTCCTTTTTTTTCCCTTTTCTTTTCTAAAATTGAGTTTTCTTTCACTCGGTCATTAACAAAGCTGTCTGTCATTATTATAGATGGGGACTTGGGAATCTCATCAGCCAAGGGTACCCCTAGCACGGAACCTCCTTCCCCTAAGGCAGATTGGCAGTTCCTGCCTAACAGTCTTAGAAGGTTCCCTGGGGCACAGAAAGATCAAAAGGCTTCTTGGTCACACAGCTAATCAGTGTCCCAAGGCCCCAAGGGCAGCCTCTCATTTGTCTGTTACCTTTACTTTTAATATCAGCTGCAGTTTGGACCACAAAGACTGTCTTCTCTACCTTTGTCAGTGTTCCTATGCAGATATCAGTAATGTTCTGTTCACTTACAGATTAAATGAATAGTTGATGAGAGGATGGATCACATAATAATTAACCAGAGATGTTATGATGACTTCATGAAAGGGAGATAAATGTATGCTTCTAAGGAATATTAGTTCTGAATAAATCATAAACCAATGTATCTGCAAAGTATTCATTTTTGTCTGTATTTCATTAAAACCTGTTTCATACATTTGACTGCTTATAGGTATAGCTTCTGAAAGTTTCAATATTTGAGCTTTTAAGATATACATGTGCTCAGTTGCAATTTAATGCTACAAAAAGCCCAGAAAAGGCAAATGTTCAACACTAAAATGAGTTTTGGGGTTTTACGATCATTTGAATGCTTAGTGTTTGGGGGGAGATGTCAACATGAAGCAGGTCATGTGCTTCATGGACGGTGCTAGGTCACCTAGGCTATGGGCTTCAGTCAATGTGAAGTCCCTCACGGACCCACTGAGAAACAGGTGAAACTCCCTGATGGCTCTGTAACTCCCATAAGTACATTAAGCCATAGTATGCATGAGACGCAGCATGCGCTAAAAGCAAATGGTTTGGTTAGGCACAAGTCGACCCTGACCTTGAGTTGGGATGAATCCTGCCGCTGAACGACCTCTTGTATTCTTGTGTCGTATCATATCTGCCACGTGTATCCACTTAACAGAGAGGCTGCGAGCTCCCTCCTATCCCTCAGAGGGGTAGAAACCAGTGTTTTGGCTGGTGGCCCTTTAATCAGATCACCAGAAAGAAGTACAAAATTTCGGCCTTCATTTTCTCAGCAACAGGAACACGTCACTTTTACACGAAACACTTTGAACCCAAAGAATGTAGAATTGTAGAATTTGTATAGACTTGTATTTACTGTCATTTATAGAGACGTGGTTCAATGTTAAAACTTAAAGGGTGAACATGGGGCACCAACAATTCTTCCTGGATAATCAAAAACTTGTAACTATTTCATGGAGATAATTCTGTTCCCCACTCCCACCCCCATCAGATTCATGATAAAAACACCTTTAAAACCTCTTCTGTATTTCATCCGACAGTCCACCATGTGTACAAATGAGCTGTGGTGCCACGTATCAGGAATTGCAATCGACTTACTATACATCTGCTTGGAGATAATAAAAGTATTTTGTGCATCTAATCTTCTAACTAGAAAGTTCATTATTCAACATTTTGTGAGGTGAACACAGCATCACAAAAGAGGGAACAATCCACTGAATGGGATGTGTTATGGCTGTCAAGTACAGGTGGGCAGATTGGTAACGAATAGGAAAAGGGGAAGGATACAACTATGCCATGTGACCTTAGATCTGAACCACCATAACTAGTCGGTCAAAAACACTCTGAATTTTGAATCCAGAGATAGGAGTTCAGATCTTGGTGGGCCCTCATGACTTGGAGGACGCTACCTGTCGTTGTGGAGAGAATGCTGGAGTCGGGGTCGGCTTTGCCTCAGACATTCGTTAGATGCGTAACCCCAAGCAAATCACTTGATTTCTTAAAATGAAGGGTTAAACTCAATGATCTCTAAAGTCAGTTCAGCTCTAACTCTACGGTCCTATGTTATTCTTCTAACTAGTACCAGAACCAAGGTTGGACAACTGGGCTTTTGTCTCAGAGGGCCAAACTTTAAGGGTACTGCTAGCTCTTAGAGCGCTTCCACAACACAGAAATAACAGAGTTCAGCAACTGGTTAGTAATAACAGCAGTAAGAATAGTAAGTTTTAGATGAAATATAAAGCTTCTAACTCCTTATTGGGTTGAGCTCTCCCCTCCCTGTGCAGCAGCCTTATGCCATGATCTCTTTCTCTACTTTCCTAACCCTTAAAACTGTTCCTTCTCAAGAAAATCTAGTCCAGATCTCTCATTGAACAGATGAGGAAGTAGATTCATAATGGCTAAGTGAAGGGTATGGGTTTCTTGCTGCTTTGACCAGCTGGAGTTTGAGGTACTCATCTCAAGCCCAAGAATTATTAGTTATAGTTCCACTTCTAATTTCTAAAACAAGGACAAGAGAGTCCTAAAAGAGAAAGAAAATCTTGGACAGCTTTCAAATGAAAGGGGCTTGGAGAGATTTTGTACGAATAACATAAAGCCCCATCTTGCTCATGGGCTTCAAACAGAAGGCAAAGTTGTTACTGAATAGTATTTGGGACAGCCATGCACAAGGCCCTTTCCCCTCCCCCCCCCCAAAAAAATCCTCTACATTAAGTCTTAACTCTGTGTGTGTCATGGACCCCTTTGGGAGTCTGGTAAAGCCTACAGACTCCGTCTCAGAATAATGGTTTTTACTACCTACATTCATAATTGAACGACGTGTTAAATTTCAATTAGAGGTTATCTTTTACTCATCTAAATCTCCAGCTCTCCTGCAACCTAGAGGTCTCTGAGCCCTGGATGACAAACTTACGCTCTAATTGCATGGGTTTTCTATGACACACTTAAGAAAGATCTCCAATAACCTTTGCTTTTTTTTAAAGGATGTAATCCACGTACAGAGAACATTCTGTTCTGGGAAGCAAAATTAGCAGTCATGGACCTCAAACTCACGGCCAACATGGCAAGTAAAGAGAGGCACAAGGCATCCCAGTATATTTCCTAACTCCTCGCCTCCCTCCGACAAAGAGTGCCAAGGTGTGGTCCAAGGTTGGCTCTGGGTCAGTCTCACTGTGCAAAAAAGTCACTAAGAGGAAACAGCCAGGCCTGGCATACACAGCACCCCAGGGAGGGGGCCAGGAGGGCAGAACCAGCAGAGGCGGGGCGATGCCACTGAAATTGTGCCTACTCATTTTCACATGTGTGACACATCCTCTGCAGTCTTTTGATCTGCCACTTCAAAAACTGGAAATGCAATTAAGCGTGCCTAGAATTAGGACACAGATTTAATTTTTAAAATGAAAATCACCCTGAACCCTAAAGAGGAGCTTTGAAAAAGTCCAAGATTTGGAAATGTTATGGAGTTTAAAGGGAGCTAAAGTTTAATGGAACGCTCCTTAATATTAAGGCCGAGTTGTCAATGGGGATGATAGAATCAGGGGCAGTCCACAACTAGTTTTCCCTCCTTCTCTCTATAATTTGTCAGCCAAGTTAAGCTAACAGACACACACAAACGCCAACAGAGAGCAGATCCCTTTTTTTCTCATCCTTACCTAGGGATCTCATCACACACACACACACGTCAGGCAGGGTCATACTGCAGCTAAAAGGATGGAGTTAATGAGAATCCTTTATCAAATTAAAGGGAAACCAGTAAAGTGAGGGAATCAGGACCCCCAAAATGGAGGCCACACACTTCCTGAAGCACAGGGTGACCTCCTGCAGAACCATAAAGCATGGCAGGGACCTCAGAGGTCACCTTGTCTATCTCCATTTTACAGGGGATGCATAGAGTGACTTACCCAAGGTCCCAACTTGGGATTCGGATCCTGAATCCATGCCCCCTGCCCGACTCACTAACCTGCTTCCCCACCTTGCTCACCTCCAGGGCAGCCAGGCACAAAACTGTGAAACCCTGAAAATCAGAGGATCTGTTCCCTCGCAAGCTTTGCTTGTCCAAGCCCCCAGTGCCCAGGCATTCCACTGGACCATGTCTGCAGCTAAGAGGCAGCCCCCAAGGGAGAAGCTGAGCCCGGACACCAGGTCAAACGGCTCAAAGTCTCTGGGAAACAGGATCTCTTATGGCTCTTAGAGATTTCCTCCAGCCTCAGAGATAGATTTTGGGAAGCAGCTAGGTGGCAGAGGGAGAGAGCACTGGACTTGGGATTTGGGAAGACCTGAGTTCAAATCCTTCCTCCGACACTAGCTGGGTGACCCTGTGATAGTTCTCTCAGTCTCAGTTTCCTCAGTGATAAAATGGGAATAAGTGCACCAACTTTACTGAGTTGTTGTGAGGATCAAATATGTTCAATTTTAGATAAATGTGAGCTATTATCGGACAGCAGTAGGAAGGAGGAAGAGCCTGGTGGCCTTTGCAAAGAGCCTCCTGTCCCACTCAGGAGGCAAGATGAAGGCACCTGCTGAGCAGAAGGCACTGACCTCCTTTACCTTGCTGTGGTGGCAGCATTCAAAGCTTCTGGCCATAGGTTCCCATATAACACCCAGTGAAAAAACTGTTTTTGTCTGGAGGAAGGGGAGGGATGGTGCGTACCAGATCAAGCTATAAGATCCAATGAATACCTCTCTCCTTTTTATTTAAAGCCAAAATCCAAGGGAAATAAGTATGTGAACCAATGTGGTGCCACTGTTTGTCAGTGGAGGGGGAAGATGATGAAAATATGTAAAATGGGCAGAAGATGGTATCTATAATAATTTCATTTCAAGATCTGTAAAGCACTTTATTTACATGATTTCACTGGACTACCTTGTGAGGTAGATGCTACCACCCCCATTTTACAGATACTGAGGCACAGAGAGATGAAATGGTTTGCTCCAGGGGAAATAGCTAATGTGTGAGTGAGGCAGGATTTAGACCCAGGTCTTCTGGTTTCAATTCCATCTCTAACCACTCCACTAAGCGATGAAAAGGTTGTAATCGCTGGTATAAAACACCAATACAATGAGCTTTTGATAAAAACAAGCTAACACCAGAGGATAATGCCACACTCTTTGAAAAGGTATCCTTAAATAAAACAGGGGCACTTTATTGGGAAAAGACTTGGAAAACACTATTCTCAGGGAGTAAAAAAAACAAAAAAACGAACAATGTAAGGAAAGATCAGGTCCAGGAATAAATTTCACCTATCTCCTCAAGTTCCTCAAGTCACTGTTTCAATAGAAACTATTGTTAAGAACATGTGTCCCAAATTCAACCATTACCTCTCCTTAGCTAATAATTGACACTATTTGCCAATTCAACTTGCTCCAAAAATCGGTGACATCTTTTTCATTTTTAATTGAGTGACTACCATCTAGTGGCAAATTTCCTGCGATATTCAAAGTGATTTCGGTCCAACTGACTCAGCCACTGTATTGATATTAATATAAATACTAAGCCCTTATTTGATCCAATGGTTCATATTCTCCCTCAGCAGCTAAGAAAATCTTAAACATAGGGAGCGTCTGTATATGGTGCAAGATTCCTATCACTGCTGGATCAAGCTCTCATTACATTTTCATTGTGATAAATGAGAAGCCTTCTAGACAAAATGGCAGTCAGAACAGAGGCCAGGCAGGTCAGCCTCCCCCCACCTACCCAGCCAAAACCTAAAAATCACATTATGTCCAACAATGATTGGGAATCCAGCGAGGACCTCCACTTCCTGCTTCCACCTCAGAACTACAGAGAAAGCCGGCCAGAAACCCCCAGGTGATAGAAAAGTAGCTATCTGCCAAGTCAACACCACCAGCATAGGCAAACCAGCTCCTGGCCTCCCCGTGCAACACAGACAGGCCAGAGAAACGTGTGACCTACAGGGCTCAATGACCAGAGCTCCCTAAGAAAGCTCCAGGATGTCTGACAACCCGCCACGTGGCCCTTGGAAGCTCCTAGAACCCCTCAGGCTCTAAGGTCCCTAGAATTCCATCCCAAGATGCCACAGAGAGCCTTGAAAATCAGGTGCATCAATCCTCACAGATCCAAGGGGTTCCAGAAGGTGGATGTCAGCGAAGGAATCTAGGGCAAGACCAAACAGGGCTGATGACCACCCTATCTAGAAATACAGATGACAGAACCTGGGCCGAGCACAAAGCCCCAGGCCAAGAATTACACTAGAAAGAGAATTAAACTGAAGAAAACACCTATTATGAGAGAAATATTACAGATCCAGAGATACCCAAAAATCCAACCTAGAAAGAGTATGATAACCACAAACATCGACTGAAAGAGAAAATGGGCTTTCCACAGGGTCTACATGAATAACTAGAAGAAATGGAGCTAGAAAATTTTGGGTTGTTGTTTTAATGACGTGAAAAAGCTCAAGGAAAGAAATGAAAAGAACCTAAATAGCTTAGATTAGAAAGTAGCAAATCTTACCTCAGAAATGGGATATCTTGGGGCAGCTAGGTGGGACAGTGGATACAGCAATGGCCCTGGAGTCAAGAGGACCTGAGTTCAAATACAGCCTCAGAAACATAACACTTAATAGCTGTGTGACTCTGGGCAAGTCACTTAACCCCAAATGCCTCGCCAAAAAAAAAAAGAAATGGGACACTGAATTCAAAACACATCAAACAGAAATCAATGACTCCACGGGATAGTAAGAAACATTAAGAAAGTAGGAGAAAATGTAAGATAGATGTCACACACACACACACACACACAAACTGACCTGGAAAACAGGTCAAAGATAGATAATTTAATAATCATTGGCCTCCCTGAAAACCACGTTTAAAGAAATTTTTAAAAAAACACCTAAACACTGTATTTCAAGGAATCACAAATTAAAACTATCCACATCTACTACAACCAAAAGGCAGTAAATATAGAATGAGTACATCTATCACCTCCTGAAACTCTAAAAGGAAAAGTCCAAGAAATGTCATAGTCAAAATCCAGAGCTCCCACATCAGAAATTCTGCAAGCATTCGGAAAAGAGTTGAGGTACTAACCATAGTAAGAATCATCTAAGTTGCTACAGCATCAACTATATTTTTATGGCATTTTCTATATTTTTACAGCATTTACTGGCAACTCATACTATAAATAAGAAAAGAGATGCAAACAAAATATTCCAAAAGGCCAATGACATGGACTTTCAACCAATAATTCACTCTGGAGCTGAGTCTAATCCTGCAAGTAGGGAAAAAAGATCTTTAATGGAATAGGAGATTTAAAAGTATTTCCAATGAAAAGCCCAGAGCTGAGAAGAGACTTTGAAATGCAGACACCAGAATCAAGGGACACCTAGAAGGCAAATTTCTTTGAGCAAGGTCAAGGGGCTGTATGATGATACAGTGGAAGTATCCCTTTAGAATTTTATTTTTCAAAGGAAATTGAAAAAATTAAATAAAGAAAAACAGGCAGAACCTGGGAGTGTCTTGGTTCTATTCTGAGGGTTTTTTGTTTGTTTTTGTTATTCCAAATATTTCAATAAGAGTTCTGTGCAAGATATTTAAAACATCAGTTTGCGAGGATAAACTCCATTGGAGAGAGAGAATACAGAACGCAGGTAGCCACAGAGCCGAGAAATGTTCTTGATTCATTCTGAGGGTTCTAGATAGGGAAAGAGAATGGAGGGTAAAAGAAGGCACACACTACTGTGGAACAGAGGAAGAAGGGGATGGAACATGCAGACTGGGCTGCACAAAAAGAATATAAACAGAGAGAGAGAGAGAAGGGGCTGCGAAGCAGGCATCTTGTGAACCTCACATTCTTACTTGAACCAAAGGAGGGCTGAAAATACATTTGTTGTAGAAATGCATCATATTCAACAGAGAAATAAGTGGAGATAGGAAGAAGGATAAGAGGGAGGAAAATACTGGGGAGGGAACAGTGACAAGCAAAATAAACTCCCTGATCCTGAAGGGAAAATTAAAAGAAAGAAAACACTGGAACACAGGGGGAGGAGAGTGCCCCTCAATTCGGGAATGGCTGAACAAATTATGGCATATAAATACAGGCTGTCCCCAAAGACCTAGGGCAATTTTAAGGCTTAATAGCTTAGAACGTAAGCTATTAAGGCTTAAAACCGTACAGACTTTGGAACAACTGTGTGATGGAATATTCTTGCATTGTAAGAAATGATATCGAAAAGTCTTGGGAAGGATGAGCTGATGTAGAATGAGGTGAGCTGCACCAGAACCATCTGGAACAACAGCTCTGAAAGGTGTTTAGGAACGCTGATTAAAACAGCAGAGTTTGGCCCTGTCTCCAGAGGCTCTGGGTGAAGCACGGTGCCCACCTCCTGAGAGGTGATGCAAGGTGCAGAAAGACACATGTTTCTGAACGTGAAATAAATAGCAAATTAAAAAAAAAAAAGAAAAGAAATTCATAGTGTGGGAAAGGGCCTCCATACCTTCATCATAACACCAGTGAGTTCCTTGTGCATTTTTTCTGTAACTTTACTGAGGATTAATGATTAGCAACGAAGGAAGAGAGCACCAGGAAACGCCTTCCTTCAGCCTACGCTCTCTACCCAAAATACACACATGGCCTCTTCCTTTCATGTACGTTTTAATGTTGCCCTATCAGAATACAAGTTACAATGACTGACAAGTTAGCTTTTAACAGCGATTGTTTTATGGAGCTGGAAAAGCACTTAAAAGATTACAATCTTTCATGTCACAAATAAGGAAACAAGATTTCTAGAACAGTTAAACGACGGGCCCAATTTTAGGAAAGCAAGATTTGAACCCAGGTCCTAACTGCAAATCCACAACTCTTTCTACACCACAGCACACCAACTCTAGCTGTCAACAGATGACAAGTATAACTTTTTCTTTTTCAAATTCCAAATTTAACAGGAGTATTTCAGATGTACAAGCTACATTCCTCTGACACACTCGCACCGAGGGCTTTAAAGAATGACCACATGTGGCGAGTAAAAGCTAACCAGAACATGAAACCATCGGCACTGGTGACTGTTGTCCCGTTTCTGGCCAGTGGGTCAAACTGACACAACTCCCATTGGAACTCTGCTGGCAAGTCCAGAAGCAGCCCTCAGAACTCTTCTCCAGACCACTTTCAGAGTCCTCTAATGAAGATCACAAGGTTTCCTTTGTGCTTTCAAATGTCACTGGGATTCCGTGGAGAAGTGTGTTCGTGTTTGCCTTCAGGGATGTCAATGAAATTTCAAGCTCGGGAAACTGAAGCAACAGGACTGACGCGGTCAACGTGACCGAGTTTCTAACCACATGGGGCTAACACTGCACAGATCATTCAAAAGGCTAGGGATTTAACAGCATAGCCTGACATGCTTGGCAGGACAATGCTATGTTTGTAATCATCTCCTTTAGACAACAATTTTTTGAAATTGAAATGTAACTTTTCTAATGTTTTTTTCCCATGAAAAAATTTGGGTATCCAAGCTTTCTTTTAAATGAAATATTTCAAACTCTAAATTTGGGACATTTTTAGGTCTGTTGCATAAAAGTACAAATAAGGCTGCTGACAAAACTAAGAAAGAAAAAAATACTTCATATTGGTATTTGCTGTTAAAAAAAATTATAATTTTCTACTGGGAACACAGAAAACCAGTCATTAACTTCTTGCTTTTATAAAAACAACAGAATAGCTCAGGTTACTGTGACCTTTGACAGGTCAAGGAAACAAGTTATTTTCTGCTCAAATGTGATTATAGCTTATTACGAAGTACTCTTTGCTATTTAATAAATGTTCTGGGACACTGAGTTTTCTGGCCAATTTATTTATTTCAACAATCTGTCAAAAGGAGCCCAAAAAACAAAAGTTATTTTACATTTTCTTAGTTTTAAAAAACATACACAAAACCTGTTAAATTTGACTAGAAAAAAGTTCTCGGGTGCCCCCCTCCCCAAGCCCTCTCCTCCTCCTCTCCAGCCTACCACAGCTCCCCCATACAAAGAAGGATCTGTTTCTTCATTTATTTGGAGCCAGTAGACAGCAGGGCGATCAGGCCTGATGAGGCACTTATGGATAAGATATAGTTCCTGAAAAGGGTTAATTGTTAAGGAAAAATTCAAACCCCTCAAATCACACCATGCCTAAAGCACAGGAGCTTCTCCACATAGTGTTTAATCACAATAATCTGCAACTGGTAGACTAGAAATAAATTCCCAAGGCAGAGGTCTACCAGGAATGAGGAACATCAGCCGAAAACCTGCCACCACCTTAAAGTAAGTCTAAAAGACAGGGATGGCGACTGACTCACCTAACTACATTTAATCTTAAAGGAACAGTTCATTAAGCACCAGGGCAAATGTGAAGGGAGGAGACAACTGGTCTTCTCCATGAGTCAAGGATGGCAGCAGCCCTCAGGGTGGACCCCAGCCCCCACAGCTATCAGGAGGCCCTCAGGGTGGTCCTTGGCCCCTAGGGCTATCAGAAGTGGTGCAGCTGTCAGGGTGGTCCCTGGTCCCCAGAGCTATCAGGAGGTCCTCAGGGCAATCAGGTGGCCCCCCCAGAGCTATCAGGCAGCCCTTAGGGTGGTCCCCAGCCCTCAGGGCTATCAAGTGGCCTCCAGGGCTATCAGGCAGCCCTCAGGGTGGACCCTGGCCCCCAAAGCTATCAGGCAGCCCTCAGGGTGGTACCCAGCCCCCAGGGCTATCAGGAGGCCCTCAGGGTGGACCCCGTCCCCCAGAGCTATCAGGCAAGCCCTTATGGTGGTCCCCAGCCCTCAGGGCTATCAGGTGGCACCCAGAACTACCAGGAAGCCCCCAGGGCCTCTCAGACATTTTGGTTTCTGAGCCCCTCGGGCATTCCCACAAGTTCATGGATGGCTGAAGCATAACTATACACTCCTGGACAATACCTTTAATAAGTTAGCAAAAACAAGACACTTTTCCTGCTCAATGGTTCCATTATAACATGAAACAAAACCTGACAGCTTGGGGCACTGCATGGTATTATGACATGGACCTCTTCCAAAGCCCTTATAGCCCAGCCAATCTCAAAGCCTGAAAATATCAGCAGAGTCACTGGGCTGGACAATCTGGAGTTCCAAGATACCCACAGTGACAAGCACGCTTCAGTTTCAAAATCGTGTTACACAGTCCTGCGAAAACAGGAATCCCTCAGCACATGTTTGGTATTGATTCTTATCATTAAACCACAGAACTCTGGCGTTCTGTGTAAATCATGTAATCCAGCTCCAATCCCTTACTGAGGAGCTAAGGGAGACCCACAACAAAGGGGCTTGCCATCTCGGGGGATGCTTCACAGCCCCCCCCCCCCCCCAACCCCCAAAAGAAGGAAGGTCCTGAGCAGCTCAAAGGATACACAGTCGGGCTGAAGTTCTTCAGGATGAAGAAAGAAGCCACAATGACCAAGACCAGGAAAAGCGTGTTATTGTAGAAGATGGAGAAGGTGGTAGCTTCATAATCAGCCACCTCATTCTTCTTCCACAGGATTCTATGGACACACAGGAACGGCAATGTCAAGGCTCCAAGCTCTTGGAGCGGGGATGTCTGACAGGGCCTGGAAGGTCTGGGGCGAAGGGGGAGGATTCAAACGGGACAAGACAGGCCCCGGGGACAGGGTGGCCAGGAGCCTGGCTCTGTGTTCCAGGGGATAAGAAGCTGCAGAACATCCCCTTTTCTACCACAGAGCGCAGGCACCACGCCATCAAGGAGCTGACAGTCTGGAGGGTTAGGTAAGCCACACAGGAGCAAAATGACCATGCCTTACTGGTCTTCATTAGTAGGGGCTGGGCCAATCAGTCATCAGCATTTATGAAGCATGAAGCTGCTCTTGCCCTCAGGGAGTTTACATTCTCTCAGGGGAGACCACCTCTGCACAAAGTAATTCTGGTGGGGAGGGGGGTCAGGGAAAGTTTGTACTTTAGGAAAGGTAACTAGCAACATGAGAAGGGAGGGCCTTCCAGGCCAGAGGGAAAGCTCATGCAAGGTCCTAATGTGCCTAAGCTGGAGTGGGAGGGGAGGCAGCCAGTGGGAAGGGTCCACAGTGTACAGAAGCTTCTCTGGCAGCCAGCAGGAGGCAGGGAGACCAGAATGGCACATACCCACCCCCATCCAACTCTCCAAACCTAGATTAGGTGGGTGGGGCAGTCCCCGAGTTAGGGGCCAAGAGAGGTACAGAAATAAATCATCTCTCCCCTAGACCATCTGGCGTCTCTTAGGCAGTTAACTTCGTTATTCAGAGACTGATTTATCCAGACCTCTCCCCCCACTTCTGCTGCTACACTTTTGGCAGGGCACTGTTCTTAGCGTTAGGAGCTAAATCAGAAGTTGGCAGAAGGGGAAGAGAGAGAACCCAACAGGCCCCATGGCTAAGTGTCGGCAGCTCTGGCCAAAGTGGGGAGAGAGGGAGCCGGCAACGGCGCCGTCTCCCATTCCCCACGTGCAGAGATAACCACAAGCTGGCCAGGAGAGAGTGGAGAACTGCGGGTACAGGGGGCATCTAGTCTCAAGCTCAAGCTCTCGTTTTTTTACAGAGAAGGAAATGAGAAGAGTGTTTGGGTGAGAGCACGTGACTCACTCAGGGTCCCTACACAGAAAACTCCACCTCTTTTTGTTAGAAATTCTAAAATTTAAAAACACACCTTAAGATTATTTTCCCCAAATACCTTTATATCCTTGTTAAATTCACAAACCCTTTAGTTAAAAAACCTCACCTTTCGTCTTTCTCCTTCCGAGACATCTTCCTGTTGTCAGCCTCAGAAAGTTTCCTAGTCACTTCTTTGGAGACAGCGTCCTCTCTCTTCTGGGCTACCCTGGGGGGGAACAAGCACAGTTTTCACAAGCCCTTGGTACAAACACACTCCTAGAAACAATCTGTCCTCACAGTTAGCCTTGGCAGCTGTGGGATACACGACATCAGACCCCCAAATTTATCGTCTACAAACATGATTTGGGCTAGGCCAAAGGCAGGCCAAGTGACCACACTGCCAAGGTACTTTCAAAAGCTGTAATAGTGATTTGGTTTGGGTTATTTAAAGAACAGAAAATGTACCAAAGTTCAAACATTCAATAAATCTATAAATGCAAAATCCTAAGTACAGCTTTCAATCAATGCCAATTCTATTTACTACTTTTACCTAAAATGGTGAGCTGACACCTCAAATTCTATTCATTTGACTAATAAATAATATGTACGAACATCCACTGCCCTATCAATAATTTAAGGACACCCTGAACGATTCTAGATCCATTTAATTCTTTCTATGACGTGCCATACAGACAAAGCGGAGATAACCTACGCTGGTCAAAATTACAATTGGAAATGGACCTCACATGGTGATCTCAAGAAGGCCGGGAGGCATGGACCCAAGAGGATACTGCAGGTGCCACAAGGTCACCACAGAGACCAGGCCCATCCTAAAAACACTGAGCGGCTACCCTGTAGAAAACTCGATTTGAAACACAGAGCAAGGGAGGGAGGCGATGTAGAGATAAATAAGACGTGATCCCTGCCTCAGATCAACAGCCTATCCCCAGGGCAAAGAAAATGAAAGAGGAACGACTGATAAATAAGGCTGCTAATGAAACGCAGAAACGAAATCCAAAATGACTTGATAAGTTAGAAAAACAGTCATAACAGAAGCTAAGTCAATCCAACAAACATTCACTAAATGCCAACTCTGTGCAAGGCTCTTCACTAGAGTCTGGACGAAGACTCAACATGAGAGTAACAGGCGCAATACAGCGCACCTTTAAAGACTCACAGCCTTACAAACACAAGGAAGATCGACTCAGCAAAGACACAGAGGAAAGAAACAAGGGGGTAAAGGGGAGGGGGTCAGGCACTGGGAAGAACTGGTGACCCAAAGCTGAACATCATTCACTCCAAAAAACACCAGTCTAGTACTGATGGAATACGCCTTGTTAGGTCTGTGAAAGTAATTATTTCCCCTAAGCTTTGAATAAAACCAGATTTATACATTAAAAAAAGATATGGAAAAATAGAGTCTCCAGAGATTTAAAGTACAAAAAATAAGTCCACTTAGGGAAGATGAAAGGAACTAGGCGATTTAACCTAGGCAGCTAGGTGTTGCAGTGAATAGAGTGCTGGTCCTGGAGTCAGGAAGACTCCTCTTCCTGAGTTCACTGACATTTACTAGCTGTGTGAGCCTGGACAAGTCACTTAACCCTGCTTGTCTCAGCTCCTCATCTGTCAAATGAGCTGGAGAAGGAAAGGCTAAACCATGCCACTATCTTGGCCAAGAAAAGCCCAAATAAGGTCACTGAGAGAAAGACATGATTGGAACGACTCAACAAAGGCAACTAAAGGAAAACAAACTGCTGTCTTTAAGTAAATAAATAATACCGAGAAGTTCAATTTGAAGGAAGGGAGTGAGGGAGGGAAGAAGAAACGGGGAGAAAGAGAAAGAGAGAAGAAAAGAAAGGTTTAAGGGAAAGGAGACATTCGGGTGAGTACAAGTATCCTACTGACCATCAGGGCAGTGGAATGACCTACCAGAGAGGCTATGCTGTCCCCAACCTTGGGAGAATCTTCAATAACATAGGCACCATCTGTCCAAAAGAGTCCTACATTCAGCTTCCTGAGGGCAAGGAAACTGGGCCAGGGGATTTAAGTCCTAGGTTCCATGACAATATACTAGAACGAATCCAGGAGACAGCCTCCCGATTGTTGCGGGCCTTTGCACCAAAACTGGTTCTATTAGCACAGGGCCTGGCACTTGAAGCACATGCCTGCTGACGTGCTGACCTGACCAAAATGGCCATTAAATCCCAAGTTGGACTGAGGCAGCCACGGCTCGATGGACAAGCTGGTGCCGGGGACCTGGAGAATCCAAAGCACTGAGCCGGACACTCAGGGGAATTCCCAAGGACACAACAACTTGCCCGCTGCTCTCAGAAGTGTACAACATACAAAGCACAGGGCTGGAAGTGGCCAAGCACAACTGTGGATGCAAACTGTCCCAGGACAGCTGGACTCCGTGACGCCTCCAGTCACGCCTTCCCGGAGTTAAGACTGCTGAGTCTTGAAGAAATACTTGACACAAACTGATGTTAAGAAAGACAGGAGGGGGCAGCTAGGTGGCGCAGTGGATAGAGTACCAGCCCTGAAGTCAGGATGACCGGAGGTCAAATCCGGCCTCAGAACAAACACTTGACACTTAGTAGCTGTGTGACCCTGGGCAAGTCACTTAACCCCAATTGCCTTAAAAAGAAAAAAAAAAGACAGGAAGTGTGGATGGTGCGAATTAGCAAGTCACCGATGAGAGGATGGAATGAAAATAAACCTGGAGGGGACCAGCAAAGTCAGCTGACTGATGCTATCCGAGCCCTGGGAGTGAGCAAATAGAGGGAGATGTTCTATGGCAATGAGGAAGATTATCCCAGCAGCTTTACAGAGGGTGAATGAAGTAGGGAGGGACCAGTTACAGAGTCCGGGTGGAAGGAACGAAGGTCTGTTCAGCACAAAGGGAGAGGGAGAGCCAGCCCACTTTGGCCTGTTTGCAGCCACAGATTTCCAAGGACAGCCTGAGAATCTGGTGCTAAAAGAGCTGTCACAACTTCACCAGATTCATCAATTCACAGAACGTGAGTTGGCAGAGACCCTGGAGCTCATCCGGTCCAACTCCTTCCTCGGTTAGAGGTGAGGCTTGCCTGATGTTATATGACTGTGACATGGCGGAGCCGAGATGAGACCCAAGTTGGGCCCTGTCCTGCTTCAGCAAATCAATGTGAGATGGATAAGAGAGAGGCACGAAGATGAGCCAACTTTGGTTTTAACTGAGCACTAACTAAGCTTTAGGGACTCATGAGGTCCACTGAGACAGCCATTTAAGAAAAGAAATAATAACTCCCCTCACTTTTTTCTAGTCGTAAACTAAATCTGAAGACACATAAAACAGCTGACAATGTCAGGAGAGTCAGTAGAAGAGAGCAGAGATTCTTTCCCACTCTGCCATTTCTCATACAGGATGCCATTCTCTAAGGACATGGATTTACATACAAAAATACAATAACTGTGTCAGAAATAGAGTCTGTTTAACTTGGGGGGAGGGGCGCTTTGGTGTCATTCTTGGTTTTTGGAAGGGGTGTTTTTTAAAAAGTCTCACAACTGTAAGAAGAACATTCTGAGGCTCTCATCCCTGCCTTGGAACGATCCCCATGAGACATCTCACAGTCTCTGGGTCAGATTTTCAACAATACCTATAACTAACTCAAAAGGACTACGCCACCAACCAAAATAAAACACTGCTAGGGGAAAGAAATCCTAAGAAGCTTTTGATGGTTAAAAACAGACTATTTGGATATTTTTTTTAAAAAAACCAAATAAACATTCACCTGCAAAGTACTTACTTGTGTTTAAGGACAAATTTGACGTTCTTGTATGCAAAAGCGACCAAGTAAGTGCTGACCAGGGTCATGACGCTGTAGAGGACCGCCGACTGCACGAGGTCCATGTGCCATATCCTCCAGTAGAGCCCTGCAATGGACAAAGTCCTGGCATGAGGGACCACGACTCAGTCTCAGGCACAGACTGTGGAGTCAACAAGATGCCTTTACACACACTGTCCCAAAAGTCTTGTGCAGCTTCAGATGTCTAACTGCTACAAAGTTACAAAAAACATCATTTGAAAGTTTATTCAAATTTCTTTTATACTTTGTTCAGTGAACTTTGAATAATAAATTTTTAATTTTAATTTTTTTTAGAAGATAGTATACTCTATCTTTAGGCTGTTTGTGTGTGTGTGTGTGTGTTTCTGGATGACACTTCCTCAGATCTTTGGTGGCCTGGCCACCTCGGTCCCCAGATCTATCCCCTTTAGACTTTTTCTTGTGGGATAGTATCAAAACTGTCATATATGTATCAAAATGTCATACTCTGGATGATCTTAAGACTAGTATTATAAATGAAACCCATTCAGTCGCTGAGCAGAAGCTGATGAAAGTTTTTACAGAGTCTGAAAAATGGTTAGTCAGATGGGTGACACATATGCTGAATTTTAATAATACCAATATTTTTAACCTTAAAAATTAATCTTTCAAACATTGTTTTTTGAAAGTTTGCAGCACTACATTTCCGGGGTTATCAAAGCTTATAACTAATTGCGCTAAGACCTTTGGGACACCCTGTATTAACTAAAGTTTGGTAAAGCCCCCCAGAACCCTGAACCCGCACGCTGCTGGCAACACCAAGATGGGAGCCCACATGTTGACGAGGCCTATGAGCTTGGACTTGCTTGTTTTATACAACAAACCACAAACAGCTCCCATTTCTATGCCCACTAAGGCTACCAAGAGGTGACAAGGGCAGTGCCAAGAAGTACAGCCACTATAAAAAGAAGGGAACTGAGGCTCAAACATTTTGGGTGACTTGCCCAAGGTCACACACAGCTAAGAATCACAGGATCACAGGACTGAGGGATGAACTGTGATCTTTCCACCCAACTTCTTCAATTTAAAAATGAGAGAAATGAGGCAACAAAAAGTCAGAGCAGGAAGGGATCCTAGTGATCATCTGGCCCAACCCCTCAATTTATGAATGAGAAAATGAGGCCCAGAAGAAAAACCACATCTGGCCCAAGGTCACCGGGGAATAAGTAACAGAACTGGGACCGAACCCAAGGTCCTCTGACTGGGAAGCCGACCACCTCCCCCCCCAGCCCCCTACATCTGCTGGCATCTCGTTGGTAAGGGCAGAGCCCAAAGGGAACATGGGTCTTTTGCCTCCAAAACCAGGATGTCTCTAACATAGAGCAAAAAGGACAACCTGGCCCTGACTCCCCAAACCCCAAAGGTATTCACACCGTGGATCTGTCTGAGAGAACAGAGAACCTGGGTCTGTTGTTACTATCTGGCTATATGATCTTGAACTAGGAACAAGGAGCTGGGTTTACTTGGGTTTTTTCCCTCCATGTTTACAAAAAGAAAAAGGCGTGGGGGGGGGCCCTGCACCATCACTTAACTACCCTCCCTGGGAGTTGTGAAGCGCAATAGTACTAAGGTAAGAAAAGGCCCTTGTCAAAGAACAAAAAAGCTAAAGCCTGAATAAAGCTACCCGGCAACACCTCTCAAAAAGGAGAGGGGACCTAGAAATTAATGTTTCTGATTCCACCTTGTCCACTGTTTTCCTCGTGGCAGATTAAAGAACCACATATTACACATACAACAATACACAAACAAAACGGACAATTTCAAACTTCGGCCATCTCTTAGATTTCTTTCTCTTAGGATTATTTATTTACTTATTTTCTTCAATCTGTGATGGTTTATGCTTCCTTCTGACAGTGTACTTCCACCCTACACACTTGACAACTGGTGCTGTTTTCAACCAGCATCAGTCACTTTGGGGTTGACACTTTTTTAAAATCATTTTAAAAACTCTGTTCATGTTTGTCATGCTAGTTATCAAGAGAAGCTATGTTAGAAACACTATTTTGTTCAGAAAGCAAACTATGTTAGCTCATTGTTCCTAGTGTCACACTGGCACAGTTGGATTTTTAAGATTTGGATCATGTACAGACTTTAACTTTTTTTTATGGGATATATCAATATTTGTTCCTATGTTTTCTAAATTCCTCCAAAAATAAAATAATAAGTGGGGGAAAAAAAAGGAGAGGGGCACCATCCCAGCCACTGGGGAACAAGAGGTTAGAAAAAAGCATTCTGGAGAGGGGGGCAGCAGACATGCCATCCTCTTCCCTGGTGATAACAGTTCATTGACCTTTAGAGCTGGGAGGGGCCGCAGAGACCACCTGGTCCAGCCCTCTCCTTTCACGGGAGAACAACCCACTAAGAGGAAGAGGAAGGTGGAAAGAGAGCTGGCCTGGGAGTCTGCGGGCCTAGTTGTGACTCACAGAACTGACAGGTAGACTAGGCCAGGCCATTCATTCATCCAGGAGCTCCATCACACAGTTCAGACACAACACCGCGTGGGGGGGCCACAGCCCTGGACTGCCCTGGGTTCCAGATCCGGCCCGGCCATCACTGTGTGGCCCTGTCCCTTCCCTTCACCTCTGTGAAATGCGAGGACCTCTAGCTCTCTGATCCCACTGCACTGTAAGCTCCCGCAGGCGGGGCCCATCTTTTGATCTCCAGTGCTCAGCACAGCCCTGGAATCGAATCCATCTGTTCCCACCCTCGGTGCCCCCTCTCCCCCTCCCCCCAACAACGCCAGGTCTGGCCCGGCAGGTCCCAGGGTCCTGAGTCTGCTCGGGTCTCAAACGCCGGAATGCAGGGTCTTCTCGGGCCCCCCAGACCCGACCCACACAATCCCATCCCCCGCCCTCCTCTTCACAAGCCGCCCCCCACCGCACCCACCCCCTTGCCGGCCTCACAGCCCTTCTCCCCTCCGCTGCCAGGGCTCGGGCACGCCCCATCCTCCATCCCCACCGACGTCACCGGCCCTCACTGTCCCCCGGGCCCGCTGACCTCGGACAGGCCTGCCGCTGCCGCTCCCTGAGGTCACCGTCAGCGCCCGCAGCCTCCCCGGCCAAACCGGGCTGCCTGAAGGCACGCTCCTGCATCCTCTGCCTTGAGGATCCACCGGAGACGGGGGGGAAACTGAGGCCGAGGAGGGCGGGCGCAGCAGGGGCTCAGTAAGTGGGTGACTCTGCGCTCTTCCCCCTCAGGCCAGGCCCCGTCACCTCTCCCTCGGACCTCCGGACACAAGTGTGGCCAGGCCAGCCCAGCCCATGCAGAGCCGCCACCGGGGCCTCCTTCAGGGCAGAGGGGACCGAGGGCCTCCCCCGCTCCACCACCTGCACCGGCTCTCTTCCCCCCTCCCCGCCTTTGCACGGGCCTGAGCGCCCCCTCCTCCCCTCTGGTCCCAGGCTCGGGATACAGTCGTCTTTGCTTCTGCTCGCACACTTACACGCACTGCTTCCTGCGCCCCGATTAGAATGTACCGGGAAGGGAGCACGCACTTAGGGAGCGCCTACTGTGTACAAGGGAGCCCGTCTCGGCTCGCGGCGCTTGGTATACAGCAGGCGCTCAGTAAGGGCTGCGGAGGCCGGCCGCCCCCGCCCGCCACGTCCCCAGGCCGCCCGCCCGGGGCCTACTCACAGATGGGGATGGCCGACACGATGAAGGCGTTCCCGAAAAAGAGCGCCGACGACTTGGCCGAGAGGTTGCGGCTGAAGTCCTGGAGGAGCAGGTCCTCCTCCGACTGCTGCTTGAGGCCTCCCTTGGGAGCCATGGCCGGAACCGGGACACGACAGGGCACGGCCGGCTCCGCTCCGACCCGCGGCAGCCCTGCGCAAGCGCGAAGAAGGGACGCCGAAGGCCCGGCCCCGCTCCTCGCGGCCGCCGTACCCCAGAGCGACCCGTCAGCGCAGACCGGGGCAGGACTACCGCCGCTGCGGAGCCAGAGCCGAACTGCGATTGGGCGGTATGGCTGCCAGTCTTCGCACTCGTGACGTATGAGAGCGCCCAGGGCGTTCAGTTCCGGGTTCGGCGCGGCGCGGCGGCGACGTGGCTGAGAGCGGTTGTGACGCAGAGGGGAGGAAGGAGGGACTTGTGGCTGGGGTCTTTTTTTTAATTTCTGAAACTTTATTGACAACAAGCGTCACAGACACTGACATGGAATCAGTTCTCCGAGAAGGGGGAAGAGAGGAGGAGGAGTGAAAGCTGAGGTTAGACCAGAGGGAGGAGTCCTTCGTTGGTTCTTTTGTTCAACGCTTTCATTCATTCATTCATTGATTCATTCATTCATTCATTCATTCTCCCTCCCAGATTACCCTCTATTTAACTATTTCTATCTGTTTTGTTTATTAACATTATTTTTATGCTATGTATTTACATATAGTTTAATATATTGTCATTTTATATAATTAATGTGTATATATGATTGCATCTTGTAATTACCTTGTATCCATTTGTATGTTTATTAATGTTATATTTATGTTGTGTATTTACATATATTTAAATATTTCATAACCATATAATTATGCATGCGTGTATAATTTATTAAATATAATTCATATCTTGCATTTAACCATTTGTATCTGTTTGTATTTATTAACATTGTATTTATGCTACATATGTATACATAAATATATGTGTTTACATATATTTACATATATGTTAAGAATTCTAGGTTGCACCATGGGTAGCTGAGCTTGAAGTCAGGAAGACCTGACTTCAAATTTGACCTCAGACACTTTGTAGCTGAATGACCCTGGGTAAGGCACTTAACCTCTGTCTAACTCAGTTTCCTCATCTCATTTAATTCATTCAGTCAACATTTATTAAGCGATACGTGCTGGTGATACCAAAAAAGAAGCAAAAGACAGTCCGTCAAATAAAGATGAAGATGATGAAGATGGCGCTTGATGATAGTAGCGATGACAGCACCTACCTCCCAAGGCTGTTTGGGGATAAAATGAGATCATGCTTGTGAAACACTCTGCCAACCTCAGAGGGCTAAGTTATTTTATGTGTACTTGTTGTACCCCATTAGAATGGAAGCGCCCTGTGAGCAAAGATTGTTTCAGTCTTTGTACTGGTATTCCCCAGTACATAGTAACAACCCACACTTCTAAAGCACTTTCAAGATCTGCAGACAGTCACGTAAGACGGTTCTAGCCTTTGTCTCCTGCCCCAAGAAGGCCACATAGCTGCCATTTTGTTTTTGGTTGGGACCCTTCAGTCTGGCCTGCTCGATTCTGGCCGCAGAGGATGCAAGGTTTGTCCAACACTTCTCTAGGTCCTGATGCACTGACGGGAGCCGTCCTCCCACCTTCCCTTCACAGCCTGGCCAATAAGCTTTATTCCTCACTTGAATATCAATTGAGCTAATTATGAACAATGTAGACATTGTTCCCTTCCAGTCAGTATAATGATTTCGGTATTAAAATTTCACTTGTGGCGGGAAAGGACAGACAGTAAGGAAAGGCTGTGGCCTTCTGTTAGCGCAATCTGACTCCCAGCATTTATTAGCCACCCACCCCAACCCTCACAATAACCAAGACATGTGAACAAGTACTTGTTTCCTTGACTGTGTTCATAATTACGATGGTCATTTTGCCGCCAGAAGTATTGCGCAATGTTGGGAAAGCCCTCTTTTCTCTACTGCTCTTGGTTTCCTCAGCCCAGTATGTAAAACCAGGAGTGTGCTGGTAAATGTTTAACAACTGTCCCTCTGAAAAGTCCAGCACACTTCTAAGTTTAATTGGTGTTATTAACATTTTCTCCATCACTTCCTTAAGTCTAGACAATCAACAAAACAGGTGTTCACCCTGAAAATTTAACCATAGGCTCTCTAAGCCAGTATGAGCTGCCTCCAGCAAAGCCCTCCTTACTCCGACTCCCTCTTATCTCTCCAGTATTATTTATTTTTAATCATGCCTTTTGGTTTTATTTCACATTTATTTCTGAATATAACCCTTTCCCACCCCCACTAGCCCACTGAGCCTTCCCTTGTAAGAGAAATTCTAAAAAGAAAGAAAAAATAGCAGTTCAACAAAAGTGACACATCTCCTGTGTCTGATAGTGGATGTGCTGCATTCTCCTCACTCCTTTCTGGCAATTGGCTTAGTCATTTCAGTTACAAAATGTTCCGTTTCATTTTATTGGGTTTTTTTTTCCATTTACATTGTTGCAGTGATAGTGCATCGTTTCCCTGATTTTGCTTAATTGATTCTGCCTCACCTCCTATGCTTCTCAGAATTCTTCATCTTCCTCATTATTTATAGCATAAGAATATTTTGATATATTCGTGTGCCCCCGATTGCTGTCATTTCTCAATTGATGGGCACTTATTTTGTTTCCAGGCCTTTACTACCATAATAAATGCTGCACGAATATTTTAACATGAAACCTTCCTAGTTTTTAGCCACATGGGATATATACCTACCAATGTGATCTTTGGATCTACATATATTTATTTCATCTTACACCGTCTTTCACCCACTTGTTCCAGGCAAACTTGCTCACCGGCTGTTCCTCTAAATGGCATTCCATCCTCCACTTCCCAGCTTGGCAGAGTCTGGCCCTATGTACAGAATACGCTCTCTCCTTGCATATATCCCGTAGAATCTCTAATTTCATTCAAACCCCAGCTCAGAGGCTTTAGACATAATAGTGATTACTTGATGTCTCAGTTGTTAATGATCTTTCACTTTCATTCTTAAAATTACATTTGGAGCACCCCCATCTGGGCTGCTCCCCCAGAGGTCACTTGCTTCCTTGGGATCCAGGATTAATTCTGTGAGTCACCACTCCTAACACTATTGCTCATTAGCCCCTACTAGTGTGCTTCCTATGAATCATAAGACAGTAGATATAATCAGCTCTTAGCAAGGAAAGGCATCTGTGAAGATGGCATAGTTAAAAACAGTAGCTAGAAAATTACCCATCCACCCCCCCATATATGCATGAGATAAATTCCCCCACAAATGCTCACAATATCTGTGGGAAAACTAAGAACAAATTTAGAGTACAATAGTAATGAGGCATACACATGGGAAACTCACGTGATCAAGGGAAACCACAGCTCCATATGAAGGTGCCACAGGCCCTGAAAGTTCCTTTTCTCCTCCTAGAGACCCTTTAGTTACAACGTCTCTGCTTGAAGGATTACTGAGTTGGGATCCCGGGGTCTCTTCCTCTCCAAAGCTCCCAGTTGCCAGGGCTAGTTCCCTGTTCGGTCCACAGTCAGCTCTATTCTCTGCTACCAGGGTTCCTTTCCTCCAAGCTGTTTCCGGCCTCCCATGCCTGCCTATACAGATATTTATCTGGAGTGTATAACTCTGCTCTCTCTACTGTGCATCAAACTCTTGAACTGATGAACTCAAACTGCTGAATAATACTGCCTTTGGGCCAGTAGCTACTAGACATCATGAATGGTAGAAAGGGGAAAAGGGGGAAATGCCCCCCTAACTCCTTCAGGTATTCTCTACAAAGAACTCCAGAATCTATACACCCTCAAAATCTCAAGTTGTCCTTAGGGCTTAGATATTTCAAGCCCTCCAGAGTTGCATCCAATTTTTATTTGAGCAATGAGATTGTACCTTTAATTAATTTCAATTATGTCTCCTGAAGGGATCACTAGGAGGTGTTAATACCATATTAATGCATTAATATCTCATTTTCTTTATTATTACATCAAATGCACTTGGGGGCGGGGTATGAAATCCCCTCTTACACAAGATTTTGTGTACACACACACACACACACACATATACATATATATATATATTTAGTTTATCTGTGTGCATGGTATATCCCCTTCCCTACCCCAACCCCTCCCAGTATAATTTAAGTTCCTTGAGGACAGGGTCTATACCTCTTTCAGTTTGCATCCCCAGTGACTAATGCAGTGCCTTCCATATAGAAAACACTTGATAAATGTTTGCTGAAAATTGAGCTCAACTGAGTTTCTTAGTCTGTAAAATGAAGGGCTGAATGAACTGAGCTATAAAGCAATCTCCAAGCACTCTGTGACCCCAGTGGTTTGAAAATATAGAGAGCACATTTTACTACAGAATTAATAACCTCGTCTTTCTGAGAATATGATCAAACAAAACATGTAAGAGATCTTTCTGTTGGAGTCTCTGAGTTTAAAGCTTATATTTTATGAGAAAAAATATTTTTCCAGTTCAGCATCAAAACATGGCACAAACTTAGTGACAGCCCCAATACACATAGACTGTGAAAAAAAGGTTGTCTCACAGTATGCCTAAGGATACTAATAAAATGACTTTGGAAACTGAGGCCTATCTAGGGAAAATATATTGTACTAATAATCATTGATAGAGGTTTTAATATTTTAACCTCTCAAATTCCCTGAGTTTCTCATAAATGCAAGAGTTATTACTCATGCATCATAGAAGCAGTATTGCAGGGCACAATAAATTAAGGCTCATACTGGAAAGAGATTTCCCCAGTTGTACATTTCAGCCACGACATCATAACAGCTTTATGTAAACTAAAGGGGCACCCTGGTTTCAACTGGAATGTCAGAGATAAGTGGAACTCTCCATTCTGATACTGTGTGGCATCATAGGCTTCTTCTGCTAGGCCTTTCACAATGGCCTTAGGGTCATTACTGGACAGCCTTCAGCTCAGATTTCCAGAAGGCTGATGTTGGCAGCATTGGAGGAGGAGTTTAATGAAAGTAAAACCAAAAAACAGAAAGACAGTCAACAACAAAATGGCGTCCTAAAGGAATGAATGATCAAATATGGAGGAGATGAAAACCAGAATAGCACACTTTGCTTTCCCTTCAGGAGGACCAAGTCCTGGATCTTAATGATCTGCTCC